ATTTGAGTTGTTTTGCAGGAGCAGCAGCTTTGCCCCCCATACACCACTTAAACACATATATACTTATACACATGTATTTATTTATAAATCTTTACATATATTTCTATTCATTATTATCTGGGTCATTCAAGCCCCAACTTTTCTGTTGACTCTCTTTTGCACACATACACACACACCCCTGGAAATGCACGTGGCCTAACTAAGGAAACTATGTCAGCCATCTGTGACGTCGCTCTCCTTTCCATTGCCACTTCCACCCTCCTTCCCACAAGCCTCTCTCACAGGCCCAGCAGCATCCCTCTTTTCTCCTCGTGGTCCTACTACGTCGCTGCCATTTGGTTGCAATTGGTTGTCCTTCAATGGAAATTCTATCGGATTCCGTTGAAATCTAAGATATACCCCAGTGTTGCATACTTCGGGGATGCCGCAGCGTTCAGTGTGTCCCCCTAAAAGTTACTGTTAATTGTTGGCAAGTGCTGTCCTTTCACGAGAACTTCTGCTGGCCGTTCCGTTCGCTGCTTCGATTCGATTTCATTTATACTTGTCCTCTGCCTCTGGCCCCATTTTCATGGCGCACCCATACTAAGCTGGGCAAACGGAACGGGGTTGGCTGTTGTTTTCAAACAAACTCAGCTGTTTAATGTTGTTGCTTGAAAGAGACACCCGAGAGAGAGAGAGATGGAGAGAGCGAGAGAGCTCGCGAGAGGAAACCAGCTTGAAGTCAACCCAAAATCATCTTGAAATCAACAATGTACAGTGGGCTCGGCTCGGAATCTATTCAGCTGGTCCCAGTCCACACTCAAGTTCAATTCTATTGCTGCACACGGGTTTTGTCTAAATGTTTATAGCCTGGATTTTTTGACCATTTTATGTACCACATGAAAAATTACTGTTACCGTGTATCGACAAGCAAAAAAAAAAAGCCTAATGAGCCCCACTGTCCACTATGCACTTTTACTGTGTTGTCTCCTCTCTCTCTATCATACTGTTGGATGAGCTAATTCCGCTTTTACTTTGACCCTCTCCGCTCTCACTTGCTGTTTCTCTCACGCTCACTCGCTCCCTATGACTTTCTGTGCCTCTATTCCTATCCTCTCTGTCGCTGGCATGCTCCACGGTCTGGCTTCGTTCGGTTAAACACAAAAAACTGTGAAATTCTCTTTCGATTTGCTTGTGTGGTAAATTGGTTTTGGGCAGCGAAGTAATACTGTAGGTTGTTTAGGCTCCACAGTGGGGCTGCTTCTGCCGTTTTTGTTGTTATTTGCGTTGCTTTTGTCAGACATTTGTCTTTTGGCTTTGGCTTTTGCGTATGTGTACATATCTATATACATACGTATGTACGTATGACTTTTATGTGCGCGCGATGCGCCCACGGTTCTCTTGTCACATGGAAGATCGTCACCAGCAACAACAACAACAATGAGAATCAGCTGCAAATTAAAGCATTTGCTTTCGCTCTCCTTGCCACTGCTTATATATTTTTGAAATGTTTCACAATAAAAAACAAACAGGAAAAATATCTTCAATAATTTATCGCGCACTACCGTTTGAAAGTTTAGAACTGTTTTTTGGCTTTGCACAAATACACAGCACATATGTACAGATGTACATGTACCATGTATATGGATTTATTTTATAGTGGATTTTTTGAGTCCTACATTTACTTGCGATTACTGCTGCTCCTGGTTTTGTTGTGCCTCCCTTTTAGTTTGGCCTGCACTTACGTATGTACATATATACTTTTTCTTTTTGGTGCTCTTTCTTGTTTTGTTGTCTACTTCAACTAGTAACTGAAAATTAAATGGCATCTGAGCTGAAGCCCCCAGCGAGCAGAGCAGAGTGGAGCAGAGACACTGGCAGAGGCAGAGTGGCGCGTCTGAGAGCAGCGGGCGAGCAGCATAAGAAGTGAAGAAAATCAGCGATGAACGAGGAGAGCCAACGCGCATGGTATAGTCAATAGAAGGTGAGTCAGTGTCATCCAAACCTGTTTCCGATTTTTTCCACGGATACCACGGAGAGCACCAATAAATGTTAATAAAAATCGAGCCAACTTAGATTAAAACTTTAAGAAATAAAATAATTCGATTGGACACTGGGGATAGGTTTTTTAAATTAAAAACTGCGTTTATTAATTATAAAAAAAATTGTTAATCAGATGGGAGAGAAAATTACGCATATTACGAATTATGAATATCAAAATTTCAACATAATTATCTTTAGCCTAGGCTCCTAAGGTTTAATGATCAATGATCATAAAAACAACTGTGAGGCATGGCGAGTGTCCAGTATTTCTTGGGTTTATTGTATAAATTCTATACTATAGGAGAAGCATACATACAGTCAGCTATCAGAAGGTAGCACATACTTTATTATTTGATATACCATGGTAACGCGCACAGAAACAAAAGAGAGCACGAGAGAGTGTCAGAGAGAGAGCAGCCAGAGCAGAGCTGAGGGCAGAGCACAGTGTGCAGTGCAAAGTGCCTGCTGCTCCCCCACGCGCTTTACCTTACCCTTCAACCCCACCATATGTACAAAAGCAAAATCATAATAACAAAGCGAGCACCAAAAGCCAAAGCGATAGCAGCAGCAGCAGCAGCAAGCAACAACAAATTAGACGGTAAAGAGCGCACAAGCAGAAGCAGCAAAGCAAAAGGCAAATCGGCAAAAACAACAACCACTAGTCAGTCCACGTTTCTGCCAAAGCTAAGAAAAGCTATAATCAAGGACAGCGACAGCTAGCAGCAGCAGCAGCTGTAAACCAAAAACACAGACACAAACACACGTCTAAACATACACATGCATGAGAGAAGAGAACCAAAATGCAGCAAAATGCAATAAAGGCAAAAACCAAAAGCAAATGCAAATGAAATGAAACAAGCTAGAGAAAAGAAATGGGGAAATAATGATAATATGTATGTATGTATGTATGTACACATATTTTTGTACGAACAACACACAAAAGTCGAAGACTTCATGCCCTTTCCCATTTTCAAAATAATGACAGTATCATATTCACAGGGACGCAAACACAGCCCTGCAATCCAGGCACGGCACCCACATGTGCATACATATGTATGTACATATATTTATGCACTATGTACGGATTAAGTTATGTACACCTACGTCCCAGGAACAGGGGTAATTGATTTGAGTACAAAAGCTAACGAGGTCACATGCAGGGGCAACAAGGATTCCTGCAAAAATCGTTTCCCAATGGATGAACATGTTTTAGGGGGGTCGTCCCTTAGACATAACCACCCACAACTACCACAGGCAGCGTATTCTGGACGGCTACCCACAGGGGCAGGACACAAAAGTGTGCGGTCGTTGACTGCGTACATATGTATGTATTTATGTATGTACACACATACATATTCAAGTCTTTTGCATAGTTGGTGGTGTGATGGAGTGCTGATAATGTGAGGGGAGTGCGGTGGAGCGTATGTATGTATTTGGCACGACTGTTTGGCAAGGGGTTTTTGTTTATGGAGGGGAAATACACACACACACACACATACATACATAACCCATGCATATATGGGCTAAGGCCAAACGGCAGTTGAGAACTGCGTGAAAGAAACACGACACATGATAATATACATACATATGTACATATATATTATACTTATTTATGCATGTTATGTGGTATTGCTTGCTGATAAGATTTAAAACGCAAAAGCAAAGGCAAAGCGAAAAGAAATCGGTAGGCACAACGCAATAAACGGGGCCAAAACCAAAGTGCGTAGTATTGGTCGGGGAGATACGAGCTCTGGTCAAAATAGGGGAGGGACAACAGCAACAACACAGAGTAAACTAAATTGGAATAGAGTATACGCGACTGCTGCCCCTAGTTATCTCAGACATGAAATAAAGAAATTCTTTAGGGAAAAATAAATTCATATATGTATGAATATATTTATACGCACCGACCACACAGGCGAGCATTAGAGCAGGCATGCATGTGTGTACAGAAACGTTTGAAACTAGGACTAACGGTAAACATGCGAACTTTTATTGCAAACAACTCCTCACCCACCTCCACCTGCCCATTGCCAAGCAAGCTGCACACACGGCTATATAAACAGTTGAGATCAAAAAAGCGCGGATATATGTATGTATATATGCAAAATTTGCCTTTTTTGTTTGAACAAGAAAAAAACAAACGAAAACATTAACAGCTGAGTGCTAGCGGCGGCGGGGGTGGGACAACGTCAACACCAGTAGAAAAATGGGCCTCCTCCACCATGGTTGTTGTTTTTGCCATCACTATCTCACAATTTTACACAATCACAAACAGAATAGAGTTACTGTATTTACATATATTTCATTACACAAATATACACATGCACACATACGCTGTACACATCTTGTAATACCTTTTATTATGATTTCTCGGTTATATATTTTTGTTTTCTGCTGCTGTAGTGTTTCTATTGAGGTGTTGGTGTTGATGGCTGGGGCGGCCGCATTGGTTTTCTTACGCATCGATACTTCTCCACATTGTTAAATGCACTGGCCACGATCTCTGCATTTTTCCACGTCTTGTCTTCCCCTTTGTCCAATTGCTGGGGTCTTTGTTATTTTTGATTGCTCAACATTTAAAAATGTACTTCGATGCCCATACCTATGTGGGTATGTATATGTGGGTACGATACATCGGTCTCCAGCAAAAGCACCCCTGCAGCTTATCGATAGATATTGCACTACAGCCAGTACTGAGTAAGGTCCTTTTTTCACTCCGATGTTTAATCGTTTTTGTTAACAGAAATAACTCATAGATAGCAGAAAAAATACCATTTCATTGCATTGAAATACATTCAATTTAGTTGAAATATATACAAATATAATGGCCTGGCCTCTTCATTTCAGCTGTAGCTCGGCCACGGTCTCGGAAAATAATAAACTATCGCATAAATACATCGATTTTGATATTTTTTCAAACCAAAAATTATGTCATCGATATATACATGCACACATAATGTATCATCTCTAATTTGTTAATATTTCTCGCTCGGAAAGGTTGTGGTTTTCGCGGGTTTGACCATTTTTTGTTGTTGTTTTTTTTTGGTTACGGGCTAAGCGGCATCCGTTACCAGTTCATTAGCTGATTTTTGTTGGTGTGCGTGTGTGTGTGTGTGAAAGCGTTCTTGCTGCCAACGCTTTACTTTTTATGGCCGAATGTTAATCTTATCGCAAATCAAACTGCGAGCATGAGTCCAAGCAGACGAAATTGTAATTGAATTTCAGTATCGCATTCGTACGCCCCTGTTGGAACTCTACTTTTTGTGGTCCTGCTGCTGCTGATCCTCGCAAAATCGCATCGATCGACCACAACAACCCATTGAGAGATCTCCACCCCCACCACCAACATGCCTGTGAAGACGGTGTCACGGCAGCAGAGCCAGACGCCCGCCCAGCAGCTGCAGCAGCAGCGCCAGCGGGATGTGGAGAACGGCCTTTATCCAAATATCCCACCCGAGAGAAGATCGCCACCCTCGCGCCCACAAACGCTGCGCCAGGACACCATCGACATGGAGGAGATACCCCTCAATCAGGCAATATCGCAGGAGCCGGAGGATCGACGAAAGATGAGGGAAATATTTGACAAGGTACGGATCACAGGAAAGGGGAACAATTAATTACATGTGTGTTTGCCTGTTGCTGGGGAATTTCGTAAAAGCCAGGGGAATTTTATCTGCACTTGAACCGGCAAAACTATTCTCCGTCTTCCTCTTTACCTACTTCTTCATCTTACAATACGTGTGTGTTTGTGTGTGCGTGTGAATGAATATTTTTCTGGTTTTGTTTTTGCCGGCGTTGCCATTGGTGAAAGTTGGGGACTAATGAATGAATCATCATATATGGCATTGCATGTGGACAACACACTTTTTCCTATCCCCCCTCTCTGAGCCTAGGAGTGACTAAATTCGTGATCCCGCTCCTCCTTTCGTGGCTGCCACTCATATTCGCACCTTGCCTATTTACCGCAAACATACATAGCTGTTTCTTTGATTTTCCCCTTTTTTTTTCGATACCCTATACTTAAAGGAGTATATATGTTATTCGTTGTGCAGTTTCCATGGGAAAACCATTACTGTTGCCAGTTACATAAATATCTCTGAGATAATTGAATTGCATTTTCATACATGGATATATTACACAGCAGGTTGAACGATTGCTCAAAAAACTTTTTTTTTTTTTTTCTGAAAAAAAGGCAACCAATGCCATGGGAACGATCGATGTGAAAGGGTATGAAAAGGTTCTGCTAGCTTTTTGCTGCATTCTGTGTTCTTAACATTGATATGCGTTGAGAAAGAGAGAGAGGGAGAGCGACAGAGGGTGTTGTCTTATCGCTGACAGCTGTGGTGGAGGAAGTGAGAGAGTTGGGGCAGCGAAAGAACCGGTTATAAATTATTGTTTGCTTTGTGTTGTGTTGAGTTCTGTCTTTTGGTGGTATTGAATTGTTGTTGCTGTACTGACGTTCGGGGTTGGCATTCGGTGTGGCGTTAGTCATCTTGACCCCCCTCGCACCTGTTTGCATGTTCCTGTTGTCGGGTGTTAAATTATTACTTCCACAAAACGGATTTGAAGAGGATTTTTAAACGTTCCGCTATGCCCCGATAGAGCAACAGTTAGCCAAGATTAGTACCGTATTTATGTTCCAATAGGATTCAAATGACATTGACTTTGACTGGCTTGGCTTGGCTTGGCTGTACTCTACAAATTTCCCACAAATTAACGGCTGCATTCTTAACGAATGACGTGAAATTAAAAATGAGCTATTCATGATTAAATATCTTTTTGGGAGTTTCCAATATACATAAGCCTCCCTTAATCCTAGCCTATTGTTAAGAGATATTTAAGGAATAGGGCACTTATGATTTGTCTGAACTGTTTAATGCGGAAAAGTGCTGTAGTAAAGAAGCCTGTCGTAATCCTAAAAGAAAAATAGTTCACGTAGGAAAGCGGAGCAGGCAAATAAATGTTGAGATTGAATTTATAATTTATTGGTAAATTTGTATATGTCTGCAATACGGGCAGAGAAATAGCGAGTTATTGGAACGTTGTTCCAAAGTTTTGTAGCACTCAGTGCATACTTTAAAGTGCACCTCCTTTGCTGGTCAAAGATAATGTAAATAAACCGACAGCTTATTCTATGGGGAGGGTTCGGCGGTTTTTCATGCTATGCCGTTCGGTTGTGTTTTCTTCTAGGAATTTGTCCACTCTTCTAATCGAATGCAAACCCTTCCAGATCAGACTTGAAAGCGAAAAGCATTTCGATTGGCATTCCACAATCGAAGTGCTTCATGCTGTCTGCCCCCTACCATACCACACAGCACACACTCCCTCGCAATCTAATCGACTCCAGCGGTCGAGTCGGCCCGTTCGCTCTTCTTCCATTCAATTGGCAGAGAAGAAGAAAAAGCACCAGCAGCAGCAGCAGAAGAGGAAGAGAAGTGACGTTCCTTAAGCTTCCATTCAAAAAAGCAGTCTATTCATGATATAGCGAGACACATACTAGTACACATATATTTAGTATATATTTACGTACTCGTATAGAACAATTCGTCCATTGTCTGGCTATGACTGGGAGTGTGTGGTGACTAAACCCCAATTCAACTCTTCTCTGGACTTCACGGAGGAGCAGAGAAAGCTCCCTCCAATGGATAATTCTTGTTTGTAGTTGTCCATCTGTGAAGTGCTACTCCATCCATATAAATTGAATTTGCTGGCGGCCCCAGTTGGCTGGCTTTCAATTAGATTTCGTTAAACCTCGTTTCGGATGCAGCATTCCAACGTGACCTGGTCCTGGCAACGGGGAGCATACCAGACCGGACCGGACCGTACCGTATATGGCCACAATATGTTGCAGTTGACAGAGACGACCGCATTTGGTGGTGTTGTGTCAGAGTTGGGTTGCCACATCGCTGATGGATGCATGATGCATGTCGCAGGTGTGTCTGTGGGGCAAAACTTTTGCTTTTGACTTTAATTTTATTGTAAATTTATTGTGCCGCTTATTGGTTTTGAATTTGGAATTTGGATGGCTATGGGTGCGGATCAGCGCCTTCAGCGTACGACAGGGTGTCAAAGTAGAAGTCGCCCTGCTGCTGATCCTCATCCTTCTCCTCCTGCCCAGAGGGGTCCTGCCAAACATCTCGATCCGTCGTTCCGTACTCCTCTGTGCCCTTCCTCTGGTGCTTGCGCCCGCTGACAGTGGGACGCCGCCTGCGTGGAGCAATGGAGCGATAGCGCAACGAACGCCCTCTCTGACGGCGCTCCTTCTTCAGTCGTGACTGGTGCTGCGTGTGCTTGTCGGTGATGGCGCTGATGCAGAAGAAGAGCATCCCCATTCCCAGGTACAGAAGGCAGAAGCTCATTAGGCCGGATGACTCCTGGTGCAGGGTGGGCTCCTCCTCGTCGCTGTTGCTGCCGCATTGTGGCTCCAAGGATCCGCCAAAGAACAAGCTGCTCAAATGTTTCGTTGTTATCTGTTCGAGCGGCGACATTTTGCCAGTATGCAGTAGGGAGGTTGGGAGGGGCGGTTCGGTTCGGTGATTTGGAAGGAACTGGGTGGAGTGGGGTGGGATAGCTGAGATGTGTCTCCGTCCGTTTTGTTTTTGTATATGGGCAAATGATTGATTGATATGCGATTGATTGCTTTGTTTTGATTGCTTGCTGCTTGTTTTCCCAGCACGACTCGGACCGCGACGGCCTGATCGGCACACACGAGCTGAAGGAGCTCATTTCGGATGGCTACTGCCGGGACATACCCGCCTATATAGCCGAGCAGATACTTCGCCGCAGCGATGTGGACAACGATGGGCATCTGGACTTTGAGGAGTTCTACACGATGTCGCTGCGCCACAAGTGGATGGTGCGCAACATACTGGCCAGATATTGCCGCTTTGTGGTGCCGCCGCCCAAGCCGCTGGAGGGCGATGAACCGGACGGTGCCTACGAGAAGCAAATGTCTATCTGCCCGCCGCCCCTCACCATGGTCATCTTCTCGATCATTGAGATCATTATGTTTCTAGTGGATATTATCCACTTTCAGTGAGTTATATGCTGCAAGCAATCCGCCACCTGCAACCTGCAACCTGTTGATAACCTGCCTCTTTCCCCCACACACACAGGGACGATCCCAACTACAACGATCGACTGGGCGAGAGCACAAGCGGTCCGGCAGCGACGCTCTTTATCTATAATCCGTACAAGCGTTACGAGTCATGGCGCTTCGTCAGCTACATGTTCGTCCACGTGGGCATCATGCATCTGATGATGAACCTAATTATTCAGATATTTTTGGGCATTGCTTTGGAGCTGGTACATCACTGGTGGCGCGTGGCGCTGGTTTATTTGGCCGGCGTGCTGGCCGGATCCATGGGCACATCCCTGACGAGTCCGCGCATCTTTCTCGCCGGCGCCTCTGGCGGTGTGTATGCGCTGATCACAGCGCACATTGCCACAATCATAATGGTGAGTGCATCTAAAACAAATACTGATACGAATACTGATGCTGATATCTGGCTACTGCTAACATTATTTGCCTTGCAGAACTACTCGGAGATGGAATACGCGATAGTCCAGCTGCTGGCCTTTCTCGTCTTTTGTTTCACCGATCTGGGCACGTCTGTGTACCGCCACCTCACCGATCAGCATGACCAGATTGGCTATGTGGCGCATTTGTCTGGGGCCGTGGCCGGGCTGCTGGTGGGCATCGGGGTGCTGCGCAATCTGGAGGTGAGGCGCTGGGAGCGCATCCTCTGGTGGGTGGCCGTCATATTCTACTTTGCGCTCATGACCACCGGCATCATCATACACATATTTGTGCCCGACTACTTCCCCAAGCAGGAGTACAACTGAGGCTGTCGTCCGCTGTCGTGCGCTGTTTAGACCACAAAAAACATATATAGCTTTAAGTCGTACCCTTAGCCCTAGATCTTGGATGTCCCCGCCCCCATCCGCTCTCCACCAAAGTGCACTTGATGTGGAAGATTGCCGCGAAGCCGCTGTACAGCAGCACAAGCACTGCCGTTTGTGTGCTATATAATTTATTTTCTTACGCCTAATTTTGATGCCCTTTTTGCCGAGAGTCGTGCCGATCCGCTCAGAGGCAACCGTCCACCCAGATGGAGTCTGTATGTACATATGTACATGTTGTGTGATATTTATACGTATTTTATATATACATTTATATATTCTCGATCTTCATGACGCAACGAAGAAACGATTTGAATGCATCCCCCTCCCATATGGGCGTATATTCCCACCGATTCCCAACAGAGAACAAAACTCACCTGCATTTTAATTTTACAATTTGCCTTTTATATATTTTATAACTATTTTATCGAACAATAAAAAATATAAATACTTTATATTTTTAAATATGCACACAGATCTATTTATTTATTTATTTTATGCCATAAACTGCAGGTTTAAATTATTATTCAATTTAGAATTAATGTAGATTATTTGCTATACATTTTTGTACAGTTATTATGATTATTTTAATAATAATTTTATTAAATTTAAATATTAAAAAAAAAAGATAGCATTTTCTGATTTATTTAGGTTTTCAAAACAAAGAGCATGAAATTAGATGTCAAAATTAATATCCCTTCAGATCAAAGTAAAGCAAAACGATGATTTCGATGTCAAAGGATCGTTTCAGGGGTCTTATGATCCGGAAGGGCACGGCCCATGCGAGAAATTACATCTGCAAGAAGAGCTTCAAGGCACGCCAAGAGCCAGAGACTTTGGAGGCCCAGATCCGGACACAGACCCCGCATCAAATGCAGCCCGAAAGTAGATATCCGGAGACGAACTTTGCTTGGAATAAGACAGCAGGTACAGCACTATTCTGCAGGTATTGCTCCACATTCTACTCCTCTCGCTTGCAGCTTCATTCAAACCAGCTAGAGCCAGCTTTTCCGATCAGAGGGAAAAGTGGATGGCCGCGGCCAAAGAGGTGCAGCTCAAGGCCATTCTGGCAGCCAAAGGCAGTGCTGCGCGGGCCACTTGTCCCCCAGGCAGTCGTTGCAAGGCTAAAGGAAACCAAAACCAAAGTCCCCCAGGCGGATTCGGATATTCCGGGAAATCCAACTGGCAGCAGCAGCAGCAGCATCCGCCGCAAAAGAAGCCAAATGGCAATAATGAGATCATCTCCTCCTCACGGATGCAGAAGCAGGCACGACTCGTTAAGGAACTGCAGCAGCTCTCTAGGATAAATTCCAAAGCGTTAGCATCATCAGCACCAACAGCGGGAACATCTTTAATAGCCAATAAACTTGCTGCAGAGCCGGAGAATGCGCAAAAGAAGTCGCGCGAGCGTTTGGCTTACCTGAAGGCCATCCAACAGTTGAATAGCTACCACGCCTTCGACCCGGTGCCTGGACTTGGGATGTGCTTGCCGGCAGATCGGATAATGGAGCATACCCCGGAGCGCATTCCCGTCATACAGATAACAGGATCGAAGGGCAGAGCAACCACAAGTGGCCTTGTGCAGCATATCCTGCTATCGCATGGCATCCGGACAGGGCTACTCTGCTCGCCACACCTCTTCTCTTCCTACGAGGGAATACGCATCGATGGGGAGCCCTTGAGTGAGGTTAGGTTCACGAAACTCTTCTGGAAGATCCACTCGAGGCTGGACAAAATGCAACCACCGCCGGCCTACAATCAACTCCTGACGCTGATGGCCTTCCATGCGTTCCGCCAGGCGAATGTGGATGTGGCCATTGTAGAGTTGGGCAGTGGAGGCACCAACATCACCGCCCAAGCGGGAACCATCGGCCTCAACAGCCTGGGCTCCCTGCCGGACATTGCTTGTGCCAAGGCGGCGGCAACCATATACACGAATGTCAGCCCAGCGGAGTGCTGCGAGATGGGCGTCAAGCTCCATCGCGTGCCCACATTCAGTGCCCTGACCGATGCAAATCCTTGCCACAAGCGTTTGCTCTCCAGGGCCAACAATTGCGTCAAATTGAATGGCCCATTGGGCATCCAACTGGCATACGACTATCTCAGGCGACACAGGCCCGAGCTTGTTGTGGAATGGGGGGACACAACTCAATTATCCCCGGGTGCACTACGCGGAATTGAGACCTTCCAGCCGGCGGGACACTTCGATGTGATCAAGCATGACATCCTGAATGTCCATTTGGACCCGGCTGATTCTGTTGAATCGATGATGGCCTGCAGGGAGTGGTTCCACTCACGAACTCGTGCCACCCGCTCGCCAAAGCTGCTGCTGTACAGCAGGGCGAATGCCAAGGACATTAATGCCAAGGATCTGCTAACGATCCTCCGCTGCAATGTGCGCTTCGATGAAGCTTGCTTTGTGCCCTGCCCCAACTTTTTTGAGGGTGAATTTGTGGCCGAGGAGCAGTCCACGGCCATGGTTTGGCACGACAAGGCGGAGCTGCACCGGGCAAAGCGCAATGCCAGAAGCTGGCGGCATCTCTGCGAGGAATGCGGCAAGAAGGACACTTCCCATCTCACCATTTCGTTGAGCTCATTCTTTGATCACGTCCTGAACAAGTACGGCCAGCAGAAGTCGGGCACAAGGACTGAAGTCGATATTTTAGTAACTGGCTCCCGACAATTGGTGGCTGCTGCTATAGCAATACTCAACAAAATGAGGGGCTCAACCCACAAGCGTTGTTAGCCACCAGAGTGGGGAATGCATTTAAATGTTGTGCAACCGAATGTGGAGTACCTTTTAAGGGTTCTAATCGGCTGCTTCGTACTGCGAATCTACGTAAATTTAATTCAAAAGTCACTTGAGATGCCCTGGAGTCGGTCGCAGTGATGACTGTAAATTGTAATTAGTCTCCAATGCGTGATACTGGCTGCCATATTTCTCAGAATATTTATTATATAAGAAAAGAAATTTATTTATTTGGCAATCTATTGCAGAGCCTCTCCTCTCTTAAAATCCAAAAGTTTTAGTCGCATTTCAGATTTATACGTGGTATCGGGACTGCCACCACTCCTCAACGATGAATATGGCCACTTGCTTGCTGTTGTGTGCTGCAAGAGGAAACCCAGTTAAAACACAGTTGCCGTTTGGAGAAAGTCACACAGATTTTAATAGTAATATACACAAAGGCCAGCCCCAGTCAGTCCTCCACAGTACACAAAACAAACTCATTTTCCAGAGTGGGACTGTGGGCTGTGAAAATGCTTGCCTTGATAATATTTACACTACAAAATCAATAGCTATACACGAGAATAGTTTATTGTTTGCCTCGGGCCTAGTGAAACTAAACAACTCTTCCACAGTTTGGCTTAGGTTTCCTTTGGAATGCCCAAGCCCTTTTTTTGATTATCTTTCAGTTCAGTGAACTTAAATATAATTCGCCATCAATTCAAGATGCTCTCAAGAGCTACCTATTGATGCGCTAATATTGATAATGATTTTTGTTTAAATGAAAAAAAAAAAAAAACAAAAATAATATCTATTCAGTTGGCTGGCTTTGGGCAAACAACTCTCTTAGTGTAGTTGTATTGTTAGTACGAGTACGAGTACTATATACACATTAAGTCGATGCATTACATTGAAACAGTATGTAATACTTATACATATGAATCTACACATTCAGATAATTAGAAACTAAACGAATACGAGTTCAGATCTTTCCTTCTTTCTTTCTTCGGTGTGTGTTGTGTGTTTTGTTGTGTGGTCATCAGTTGACTCTTCACGTTGGTGCAGCGTTTAAAACGCGCCTAAGTTAAATGTAGTTAACAGTAGTTAGGATAATGCATAAGTCAAATTAATATTAGATAATTAATAGATAATTTCCATTGATAGCCACTTTGCAGCTACGTCACATGAAATACGAAAACATAAAATAGAGCCGACCGTAATACTTCTTCTTCTTCTTGTCCTAGTGTTTTAATTTGTGTTAGTCCGTGAATTAAAATTTTTGTGATCGCTCTCGAAGACTCAGTCTTGACTTTCTCTTTTACAGGTGCATTCAGTTGGTTTGGTTGGTGGGGGTAGGGGTAGGGGTAGTGTGGGTTTTTGTGTGTTTCAAAAGTTTGGGGGCGTAGCATCGGGTGGCAGACGCCCAAGTTGGATTGTGGGTGTGTCCATCATGGCCATGGTGACCACCGACGGTGAGGAATTCGGCATCAACTCCGACATTATGATCTTTAGGCGCTCAAAGGGCAATCCAGCCACACACCTGTCATGCTGCTGCTCTTGACATTCCTTGGAGCAGCTGTTCAAGCGATCGCCGAGCAGAATACCGGGTATAGGACGGATTACGGGTACCATGGGCACATCGGGGTTGCGCAACATGGCGCCCGTTGCGGTAAGCAGCTGGGTGATAAGCACAAGCTTAAATTGCTTTAACTGAGATCCATTACGACTGATTCCCATTACGGAGCGGATCATGACGGCCGTGTTGGTCTGACATTTGGGTATCAGCAGCAGCTCCTCCACCGTATTGCAGTTGGACAGCAATTGGCTAAATTTACAGTCCACATCCACGTTGACCAGCTCCAGGCGACGCACGCCACCAGCATGGGCGAGTCCCTTCATGATCTCGTCGATTGGGAACGAGGTCTTCTTACGCGGGTCTGTTTCTAAGCGGAATCTCTGCAATTTTGTGAGTGTCGGCAGCACCTCGTTGCCCAGTTGTAGACGGTGCATGCTCTGGCAGTAGCCCAGGTTCAGAGTCTCCAGATTGGGCAACTCCTTTAGAAACAGCAAGTTACCCAAATTCTTGACGCCGCGCAGACTCAGGACACGCAGATGCGTCAGCTTGCCCACGTGGGGCAGACCGGTGATCGATGCCTTGGTATCGGTCATTCGAATGCGCAGCTCGTTCAGGTTCTCCATCTTATCAATGTCGGTCATGATGAGGCCCGAGCTGACGCATGTGCCGATCAGCTTCTCAAGTTGGGGCAAGCCACTGAATATCTGGTGCAGAAAGTCGGCTTTCGTATGATTGGTACGCACCGTGCGCATATCTGTTAGCACACGCATGTCACCGGCGATGAGGGTCCCAGTATTGGGTATAATCGCACCCATCATGTCCAGTTCACGTGTGCAGTTGCGTGCCATCTCGCGCACCAAAGCTGGCCAATTGTTGACCTTTGTATCGCGCAGAGATACTGATTTCCATACATCAGAATCACGCGAGACCAAGTTCCACAACTTGCACACATTCGAGCAATTGACACGATCCTGAAAGATAAATTCGAATCGATTGGATTAGTCTAGGCTTTTGTTAGTTCCGTTTCGTTTCTTTCGGTAATTACCTGCTGATTGAGTGTCTTCATGAGGCTGAGCAAAAAATGACAATTGAAGCCTTCTCCGAGCGCTGCTCCCCACAGGCTAGTGGGTGAAGCCAATTGCTTGGGTGCAGCAATGCGTTTGCCGTAGAATTCTTCGTAGCTGCTCAAGTCTGGTGGATTTGGCACAATACTGGTGGAGGGTAAGGCAAAAAACATTCATTATGAGTATGTACAGAAATAATAGGGGTACGGGGGTACTAATCGAATCATAATCATCTAATCAGACCTCAAGGTCTCGAGTGGCCAAGGACTCACACTTTTGGTTGACTTGTGGTCGTTGGTTCTCCAACGATGGAAATCGCCTTACGCCCACCGATGACCACAACCTCCTGGGGCATGTATAAATCAGTTGGCGTTGTCACTGGGGATTTGTCTGTGCTGAATAGCTCCGCTGGTGGCATCTCGCCGGGCGGCTCGATCATTTTTGTGACTTTTAGCCCATTGCTCACAGTGCCCGCCTGGTAGCTCTCCTCGCTTTCCTCCTCGTCCTCCTCCAGTTCTTCATATTCATCCATTATGCGGCCAGCATTTGGTCCCTCCTCCCTCGCCGACGACCGCACGCAGCTCTGCAATCAGATTATACATATGTGAGATGTGCCAGAACAGAAGCAGAAGCACAAACACTGACCTGGCAAACGCTACCCTTGATTAGCTTTAGGCAGGATCCACAGGTGGCGCGCTTGGCATGGCTCACCGGGGCGGCACTACAGGGTATAGATAGAGGAGTCAGAGTTAGTTGGAATGGAATGGATAGGCACATGTATTTTATTAGCTTACTTTGAGCTGCCGCTTGCATTCGAAGATCCAGCAGTTCTGGCGTTGCCATTGCTGGCGGCAGCCAGGAGACGCGCATTTCCCTTGACGGCCATGGTGGAGGTCCAACCCTCAGTGGGAGGGCTGGCGCCCTTTGGCACCTTCGGCTTGGGTACGCGTTTGCCTGTTACAAGAGCCGCCACTTCGCCTGCCAGAGGTTTCGTGGATTCGACTGCCATCGGCTTACTGGGTTCGGTGACCGATTCCGCTGGATTGATGGATTTGCGACGTTTGCCAAATGGCGCAGAGGCAGATGCCTCCTTCGGATAGGATTCGGCTCCCATCGTTTGACGACGTTTGCGCTCCACCTTAATTGTGGCCGACGCTGTCGATTTGTCGGCCGCCAGCGATTTGCGGCGCTCCTTTAAAGCGGCATAGTGCATCTCCCTGCTCAAGGCCTGACGGCTCGTCTCGAACTCGGATCCGGCACCCAGGAGATGCGTCCCAAAGATAAAGTGCTCGATGGTGAGTTCATTCGTCAGCAATGGTACAATCTCACTGATTTGTCGGCACCTCTTGCCGCAGGGCGATGTGTAGATTGTGTGATTCGAAGTGTTGGACAGTGGGCTGGGAGTCACCACCTCACGCTTCCAGCCAAATTTAAACGGCAGACGATAGAGCTCGTCGGACAAATTTGGCTTCGGCTTCTTGGCCGCATCCGAGTAAATACTTTTGCGTCGAGGGGCCACCTCTGGCAATGGATCGGGCAACGGATCATCACCACAAATTAATTTTCTGGGTATGAAAACACAAGGAGTCTGATTCTTCTTCTTTTTCTTTGAAGGAGGAATCGACGCAGCTGACACCTTCGCCTTGTTTTCCACGTTGTTGTCGTTTGTCTTAATTCCCATTCTCGACTTTGGGCGTTTTCGGGACAATTGGCTGGAATCAGTGACAGGAATCATCACCTCATCCTAGAGGGGACAAGAGGAGTGGAAGAGAAGGTCAAAGGTTAGTGTGTCTTCGGTCAAGTGTCTGCGTGTCTACAACGAGAGCTCTAAGCATTAGTTTATAGTTAGTTATATGTATATAGTTAGTTGTTATTATTCTTATATCTGTTTTTGCTTTGTTTTATTTGTATGTTTAATTGTTTGTCACCACCTTCTTGTCTAAATCTGTTGCTGTTTGCTGACTTGCAGTTGCTGTAGTTGTTGTTCGCGATTCTGGTTCTGGTTCGCTTGTGATTGAAGCCACAGAAGAGTGGTTTGAGATGTTCTCTGAAGAGTGGTTACTGTTGTTGTTGTTGGCTGATGCCGTCGGTGAAAATGTTGGGCTGGGAGGAGTTGTCGGAGACTGAAGGGTTGTTACTGGTGATGCGGACGATACTGGAGTCATTAAATTAGTACAGGAGGACGTTGCTGGGATGGTGCTAGTTGAAATTCCAGTGTTCGGAGTGGTAGTTGTTGTTGTTAGTTGGATGGAAGGATGGGATGGTTCTGTTGCGGTCGGGAGTTGGATAGTTGTCTTCGTCTGCTCCGTGCGGGAGAATGGTGATGGTGATGATGACATCTGTGAAGAAGTCGGAGTGTCCGTGTCCGGGCTAGCCGGATCAGCCGGAGCATCAGGAGTAGTAGCAGCAGCAGCAGCGGCCTGTACTGCTGAGTCTGCCGTTGATTCTGTCTGTTGTTCACGGGGGAATACCCTCAGACCACTCGTGCAAAGCGCCCTGATTTCAGCTGGCGACTGTAGTGGCGGATAGGAGATAGATGTAGAGAGAAAGAATATAGAAAGATCCAAAACAAAAAAAAAACACCCTCTCTACAAACTCAACAACGGAAATTCAATAAGCTGACCACTTACCCGCGTATCTTCATCGGAGTCATCGGAGATTTCGTTCTGTAAATACGAGAGGGAAGGATTTCTTCCGGAATATCCCTTCAATCCTGTCTGTGACTTGCGTCGACTTGACTTCTTCTTCTTCTTCTTTCTCTGGTTTTTATCGTTTCCTGTGGGGGGAAAGGCATTAAAGACTGGATATTGGAGTTGATAATATTTCCCAGCTCGCTTACCATTTACCATGCTGTTTGTTTCATCAGTGGCCATGGCGTTAGCCACCAGCAATCGGTCTCTCAAGCTTCCCCCGTTGACGACGTTACTACTATGTCGACCAAAGTTTGACCCACTACTGGAATTACTGCTTCGGGACACGGACTTATCCCGCCGCTTCGATCGGGACTTACGTCCATTTGAAGGGCCAGGTTCATCGGGAGAGCTCATATCTGGAAAATACAAATCTTTGTTCTGTAGTGTTGATCAGACTTGTAGCTTTTTGTTTGTATCCGATTTCTTTCCGAAATCTAATATTGAAAAGCTCATCTGCCAATATTTATCCAATTGCCCGCCCGACTTCTCCAATAACAAACAAACAAACACACACACACTTGAACTTGTGCTCAAATGCATAAAGACGCGCATCTAGCGGCCGTTTTTCGTACTACGCGTGCAAGTTATTTCCCCCGTAATTTGTGCGTGGCGTACACTAACTTACATACACATGCACTCACATAATTGAGACTCTCTTGACGACTGCCGGTCGGATTTCGCGCTTTGAAAATGAGAATGGGAGCTTTTCTCAAGAATAAAATTTAAAAAATTAAACATCCAGCAGAATAATTGGAATCGTAATCCAATATTCTCACAATGCGTTGATGTGTGTTTTTTTTAAGCTTTTATACGAATTTAGAGGAGTTGTAGGACCCCTCACATTTTTATACATTTGCATGTAGACACAAACCAGACCAGACCAGCAACATATATACTGAGCAGAAAAGCTAGACGCGCCTTCCCATCTTTCATGCGTTTGTTTTGTTTTGTTTTGGTTGCGGTCTGGTTTTCTGCCCGAAAAATAGTTTATGCGTGCACACACACCACGAAAGAAAACACCGCTTCTCTTTAAGACACCTCTCTTTAACACGGCGCGGTAAGGAACCTGATGTGAAGTACTCCAACAACTTTAGAACAAATAAAACTATGTACACATACTCGTGAAGTACTTCAGAGTCTTGCAGTTTCTGCTTATTTTAGACAGCGGCGCCTCACAATTTGCGTCGGTATGTGTGCGAGACTGCAAAATTTACTGTATATGAGTGACGCCAGGCCACTCTGCTTAGCTGCAAGCCAAACGGAGCTGCGAATATTCCATTTTCGACGCAAAATTGTGCTCAAAGTTAATGTTCTCTGGCATTTTCCACTTACCTGATGAATTACACAAAATTGAGCCAACACTTGAGCTATTTTAACCAAAATTAACCACTTTCTGCGGCGGACAAAGTCACGGCACACCGTACACAGTAGAGATGATAAAAATTAATGATGTACCGATATATATTTGTTGTTCATAATATATTTGCAGGTGATAGTTTTTTTTGACTGGAGAAAATATCAATATAATATGCATATTTTGTGGGATATATCAAAAAAACTTTTCCAGATTCTGAGCAAGCAAAACACTATTTTTCTATTTCTTTGCGTCGTTAGCTCAAAAATACTCGCCATTCTATCTCTTTCATCGAATCACAGGGTAGCTTCAAGGAAATATCGATACTTTTGTGCGATCAACGGAACGAACATTCCAGGCGGTTTTTGCACTTGGCCTACCAACACATGTGTAGTCTCGTGTGTGTTACACACAAAAATATATGTCTGTATGCATTTTTAATATTTAGCGCTTGAAAAGTTTTGTTTGAATCTTCTGTTTTGTGGTTCCATCGTATTTAAATGTATGTGTGCCCCGTGGTCTCACGTACTGTTCGTGTATAGGTTATATTTAATTTTTTTCTTCTGAGCTTACATACCCTTTACCTTTGAGTTTTTTTGAGTTTGACGACAACTTTTTAAGAAGCTTTCCCAAGTACTGTTATATTGTATATCCTTTGTATGCTAGTATACTTCTAATGTAGAATTAACAAATGGATTAACGGATAAAAATATGTAAATAAACCAATAATGGATATCATAATTGACCGCACATTCGAAATATTGTCCATTAGAGTATTAAAGGTGCGACGTGCACGTTTTTTTGTTCTCTGTATTCGCTCAAAAGTCAAGAAATGGATAACAAATTTACACGCATGACAGCCGAATGCTCTAGCTGCGACATATTCGTTGTATGAACTGGAACATATACATATAGTATATGTACATAATATATATGCATATGTGTGTATGTAATATATACTGTATGGTTTGTGTCAGCGCAAAGTAAGCGCCAGAGAGAGGGAGAGAAAATATTATCTGTCCTCCGCAGCAGCAGCACAAATTGCAACCTCTGCCGACCGCAGCAGAGAACATACACTTATCAATTGGTGCTGCAGGGTATACATACATACATATGCATGTACATATCTAAAATTTAGATTCTAAATACATACATATGTATAAACGGGCCGCAGCAAACTTTTTGTCAATTAGTTAACGGTGTTCTTGTATTATAAAACCTATTCAAATACTTACTTTACATTTATATATGTAATAATAAATTTTAAAGATGAGTCAACCTTCGGCGGCATCAGCTGCTATTGCTGATACGTTTTTTTCTGGAGATTCCTGGAAAGAGTACAAACTGCTATTAATGCACTATTTTATTATATTTTTAGTGCAAGTATTCGAGAGTATTAATTCAGAAGAAGTGGAGAGGTGAAGAAGGAGAGAATACATAGAATGCTTGGGATCCGAGAAAATATTCTATATTCTTATTAACTGCAGTAAATGCTCGGACCCGAAGCCGACCCCAACATGGCATCTCATTGCGTAGTTAGGGGCATGTACATACATATATACGAGATATTCATTCGTATTTCAATAATCCAATCCGTCGAAAATTTAAAAAAAACATCGCAGAAAGTTTTACCGAGTTAATATCTTTTTTTTTTTTGCGCCGACAAATAATTTAAATTGATAAGGCATAAAGATAAGGACCTGCTAAAAGTATCCAAGGGTAGAAATATACACATTCTATGCACGGGTTCTTTTCTACATACATATGTATATAACTCGTGGCTAAATCGGATTCAATGCTGGGCCCAGACGATCGGAGAAGGCACTGTCAGGTGGACAGCTGCGCCCGCCATCATGTAAGGAGCCAGGATGATGGACAAAAGGAGTGAGCTGCGACTGGAGAAGTTCCCTTTTGATGGTTTCACGATAGCGGAGTCATTTCTTCAATCTATACGTACCAAACCAGAGACCAGCCTTCCATTTTTCGGATGAGTCCTTCCTACTGGCAGGAATACATATATTGGCTTTTTTTTATCGGATTTCGGCATCGGCTTGCGGCGGCGGTGGCCTTCGGTAATTGAATTTTATTAATTGGCTACTTTGGCAGACCGGCCCTGCCCCCGAGTGTGCTCCTTGCCCCGTGCCAGTGTCGAGTGGGTGTGAAAATCCATTTATCCCCTGGTCTGCTCTGCTCTGCCCACTCCCAGTGCAGCTGTGGCTGTCGGTCACGTGTGGTTGTTTGCCGACGCTTGCCTCTTATCGGTGTCGCCACACACGCGCCATTCCCCCCCATCCCTCAGTCACCAGTCACCATTCCACCATTCACCATCCCAGAAGCCAGTTTGCTGCCACTGAATGATAAAGAATTAGCCACCAACCTGCTGCTAATTTGAGTTTGATGCTCGCGACGGGTGGCGCTGATTTTTGACTCCTTTCCTTTTTGTTGTTGGGTAGTTTTGATTTGATTGCCGCTAAGCTGCTTAGTGGCTTCCATTTGAGGGTTGCTCCCTCTATCTGCCTTCCAGTGTATCTTCTGTGCGCGCTCGAGCGACTGAGAGCTGGATTAGGATTGGGTTCTCAGGCCCCTGCCCTCTGTCCCTGGCCACGTTTAATGCCAAAGTGATGATGATTATGTGAATGTGGCGCGTGTTCCGCTGAGAGCGACCTGCTCATGAATGAATATCAGTGGCGATTAGAGGACAGCTGGACATTCCGCTGGAGACTGCAGACCAGCAGGCTATGGCTGTCAGGCAGTTGTCATAGGCAGCTCCACGTTTGTTAGCTTCACATAGGCAATCATTTCGGTTCCCATGGCAGCAGGCACACTGACGGATCATGATGGACCCACCAAATGACATTGCCTATAGCCGCAATCTGAGGGATCACCGTTTCCAGGGTCGAGTGCTGGAGCTGGAGAAGCAGATCATACTCGGCAGCTACGCTCGCCGTCTGGAGCAGCCGCATGGTGAATGGAGCCATCAATTCCGGATGTACATCAAGAGCATGCATGGAAGTGGCCATCAGGTATCCGAGTTTGTGGGCAAAGCTGTCTTCCGGTTTGTCGGCTCGAGCGCCGAATATGTGGAGGTCGTTGAGCGTGAGCCCTTCAGCATCAGCTCCTACTGCAATGGACGCCTCCAGGTGATCATCACGCTGATGTTCAAGGCCCGCTATCAGACCTGCAGCATCGTACACCACGTGATCACAGTGCCGGACGACAATCAGTTATGCTCCCACCACGAACGGATGCAGACCATCATCTTTGTGAATCCGTCGCGACGCATGAGGCAGATGCTGCACCTGCTGCCAAAGCGGTTCGATCTGACAAAAGATAACCCGGATCCTGTCGAAGAGGCCGCACACCTACAGCGGGAGCTGAAGCGCGCCCGCAAGGCACTCAAGAAACATCCGATATACCTGGTCAATCCGCCAAGTGACTGGACAATCAATCGACTCTGATCTGTGGTCTGGTCTGGACTGGTCTACCATCAACACTTGTTCCTGTTCGCAGCGCTGAAATTCTCAGTCATTTAGGCCAAATAAATCATCAACTTTAAGGTGCAAACAATTTATATATATATGGATATTGTGTAGAGTTTTCCGCGGTGGCTGCCTGGCTGTAGATTGTGGGGGTTGCTGGCGTTGCTGGCTCCGCCCACGCGAGTCTGCGCACTGTCACGTGCCCCCATCCATGGGAGTGTGGGCAATTAGGCGTGGCATGGCACCGTGAAAGAAATCCATCCGCGTAGGCAAATTTCCGTTGAAATTTTCACGCTTTTGGGTAAAGTTTTGCCGGACCAAGTCCTTTTTTTGTTTTTGGTTTTTCTTTTCCTTTCTTAGGAGCGTGGGTCGAGGCCTAAGATGGAGCCCAAGCGTGGCCTTTGGCTGCTGATAAGATCCCAAGTCCTGCCACGCCCTGGACATTTCCCATTCCCCTTTCGGCATCCAAGTTGCCTGAGAGTTTAGTGGCCAAGTTCCACCCCCCAAGTGACAATCGTCATTCAGTTTAGTTCTCAACAAACTTCTCGAAATGTTTCTAATGTTTCTCTAGACTAAGACAATTAAATTGCAAATTTTCGGTTCATATCACACAACACAAAGGACACATCCACACACATCCTCCTCACATCCTCCTGAAGATGATTAGCTACAGGAGCGCAATGCGGCACCAGAATGTGGTCGACGATTGCCAGCGGATTAGCTGCAATAGGGGTCCGAGCAGCGCTTACTCCCAGCTCTCCGGACGCTGTGTGATTGTCAAGGACATCGTGCTGGGCTGCCGCATGGAATGGAGTGACCCCGACGTGCCACCCATGTTCGACCAGACCTGGTGCGTCTATCTGCGCCAGCAGGATAACCTCGAGATGGAGAAATTTGTGCGCCGCGTCACGTTCCGGATGTCGCCGCGATTGCCGCTGCGTCTGCAGGTGGCGGACAGCGCCCCATTCGAGATCACCGAGGTGCTGGTCACCGATTTTCCCATCGAGATGCAGGTGGAGTACACGGACCCCAAAATGACGGCCACAACGTATGTGTTCAAGCCACCACGCCTAGCGGGGCGCACGCCAGAGGAGACACCAGACAAGATGATCTTTGTAAATCCGTCACCGGCCATGCGGCTCAGCCTTTCTGCCGCCGGCAATCCCTCCACACTGGCCACGGCCATGACCACGAGCTCCACATCATCGCTGAGATCCAGTGTCGGGGGCAAGGGGCTGGATGGGCAGGTCGGCGATGGGGCAGAGAAGCCCAAAAAGTCGTCCGGGATGGCCGCCGCCAGGAAACATTATTACCAGTGAGTTCCCCCAGCCAGGCTGGGCGCAGCTTCCGCTTCAGCTCCCTCCCCTCCCCATTTCTGTATACACAGCTTTTGCTGCTCGGGGGGTTGTTTGTCGCTGGCTGGCTGACTGGCTGGCTGTAGTCCCGCCTCCTTCACACGGGGGAGGGTTGATTGCGCGGACCCAGTCGCTGGCTGCCAGATTCTGGCTGCTTCGATGCTCATTTCCCTGCTGGACCTTGTGCACTCCGGACTGTGCACTCCTCAAAATGGCCTGGCTACCGAGCAGCTCGAACGGATCGGACAACGCGGATGAACGGAGTACGGCGTCCAGCGCCAGCGCCAGCTCGGCCGCCGGCAGCAGCGGAGCCAACGGCTCGCCCAGGCCAGCAGCAGGAGCAGCACCAGCTACCGCTTCGGCTGGGGCACGCCAGCCCCCGGCCCTGCTGCGGCATGCCACGCCCTACCTGCAGCCCAAGACGGAATCCATTTCGGACGGAGATGGTGACCTGTCGGACTTCTCGCTGAACGACACCGAGGAGGATGAGGAGGATCTGCGCGACTACATCGTGCTCAACGGCAATCAGGCGGACGGTAAGTGATGGCCCTGATCCCTGATCCTGACCCCTTATCCTCATCCTTCACGCCTTCCCGCAGGCTGTCGCTCCCTGTCCAACTCCCCGCGCAGCGGCAGTGGCTGTGGCAATCCCTTCGCTAGCTCCCGCACCTCGCCCTGTCGCAACGGACAGCTGTCGGGCAGCGCAACAAATGGCAACGGTAATGGAGCCTCCGCAGGGACTGGCGGTGGCGGTGGCGTCCGTAAGGTGTTCACCAACACCCGCGAGCGCTGGCGCCAGCAAAACGTGTCCGGGGCCTTTGCGGAGCTGCGCAAGCTGGTGCCGACTCATCCGCCGGACAAGAAACTGTCCAAGAACGAGATCCTGCGTTCGGCCATCAAGTACATCAAGCTGCTGACCGGCATCCTCGAGTGGCAGCAGCGGCAGGACGGGCACGGCCACGAGCAGAACAATAACGACAACCACATGGCCAATGGCCATGCACCAGCGCCGGACACCGCTGGTGAAGTTCTGTCCGCTTTCCGGCACATCAAGTGCGAGCGCCTGGACGGACATCAGCGCAACGGAACTGGCAACGATCTACTCATGATTGCCCCCGAAGCACTCATCAAAACTGAGCTGCAGCAGCAGGCCAGCACCTACCCCGAACCCCCACCGGCGCATCCAACCGCATCCATGGCTGTGGCGGTGGCCGAGGCCCGGGTTCTTGCCGCACTGAAGCCGACCACAAATACCTCGTCCGGCGGCAGGAGCAGCAAACGGCGGATTAAGCTGGGCCTGGGCCTGCCCACCGACCTGAGTGTGGTCAAGCGACGCAGGACCTGAGAGCCAAGGCAGGGGACAGGGCACAGCCTAAGAGGCTGAGACGCCCAAGCCAATCGTTTCGGAGAAGATTGGAAGCAACCATCAGATACATAATCTAATCGTATACACAAATACATAACAATCCTTTTTTTTTTTGTTAAATAAATTCGAGTGCGACTATAAAATACTCGCGTATGGGCATGTAATCTGCACTTGGGGGAACGTTGGGCCAACCATCGCATGGATGATAGGACAATCGCAGGGCAAACCTCCAAGTATCTCCATACCTATCTCCCCTGGATTTCCGTAGCCCTTTCCCTGTCCAAAGAAATCTTTCATGCTGTGTTTTGACGCTTATAATGCGGTGACCAGACTTCGTCTCTCATTCGCACCATTCGCTCCATCTATCTCCTTTCTTTCGGTTCCACTGTGAGCCCATCTGTATCACTGTATCTGTATCGCTGTGCCACAATCGATTTTTTTAGATGATAAGAAGCCCAAGGCCCTTCCTTACATCTAGTAAGTTTTGTTTAGGAGTGCGGTGGCGTACCCTAAAAAGTATGCTATATACGATTATTCCTGAAACAAACTGTGTTCCATGGTTCCATGGCAAACCAGTCGCTGGGGTCGCATTCTTCTTTGAATACTCCAATAAATCGAAGTTCGAAAAACACTCAGAAGAACTGAACTCAATCGATTTGTTCATGTATTATCCAGCTAACAGCACCAATAAAAAAAAATAGTTTTAAATAAAACCCATTTGAAATACAATCGTCATTAATATATATTTTTGTTTGTAATTTTTATTGTTGTTTTTAAATTAAGGTTTTTCTTTACGTTTTTATATCGTGTTGTTCTTGTCACCATTTCATTTTCATTTTGTCAAATAATGTTTTCGGGGCTTTCTTGATTTGATTTTTCTTATTTGCAATTAGTTTAGGTTTTCTTTTCTGTGTGTTATTTGTTATTATTATTAAATTTAAGTTTTCATTCTTTTTTGTTTTGTTTTATGTTTTTGTTTTGGATTTGTTCCTTTTGTAAGCGAAACGTTGAAATTGTTCTTCATATTCTATATATATATTGGTAGGTATATATGTGCGTGCATATATGTATATATCTATATCTATATATATAGTATATGGTATATACATGCACACACATACATATCATAGACATACATATATCATACATATGTATAGATCTTTTTTGTTCTTAAATGTTTTCCAAATTATATATTATTATATTCTATTTGTTCATGTATTCCATTGTTTCTGTTTGTGTGTGTGTGTGTGTGTGTGTGTGTGTGAGTTACAATAGTTTAAATAAAGTGTTTTTTTGCTGTATTTGGTTTACTTAGATTATTCCGCTAAGGTGTATTTTGTTTGTTGGGGGTAGGGGAGGGAATTGGAACTTTATTTATTTATATTTTAGTTTTAGTTTTGTGGAAATTAGATTTGCAGGTCTGTTGTGTGTGTGTTGGTGTTTGTTTGTTTGTGTGTGTGTGTGTGTGTGTATATATATGTATTGTATATAATTAATTTTAATTAGTTTTGATGGATACAAAACTCAACGTTCATTAAATTTATAAATGTATCTTTTAGTTAGTAAAAAAAAAAATATATCTTTAATATATATATATATATATATATATATGTATGTATATATATATATATATATACAAACATATATGTACATATGTATGTATGTAGGGAGCTCTATGGAAATACATACAAATAGATTTGTTTGTTCTATTCAATCTTTTTCAAGCGAAATCGGTTGTTGGTGATCGATGGGATGTGGGCATGGTGTTGCTATGGGACTTGCATTTTCGAGTGGGGGGTGGTAGTATGTGGAGATATCTTTCATGCTAAGTGCTTCTGTTGGGCGGGAGAGTGGAATGGAAGTGGGTGTGAAGTCGTTATGGGTGCGTATTAAAAACCAATTATAGAGCCTTGAGTAGAGGGTATGGTGTGTATGGGTGGAGACTGAGATGGGTGGAGTGTGAAGTGAATGCTCGAAACTGCCTTACATCTAAATTAACTTCCGCTTGCGCTTGTAACCGTAACACACTCTGTCGTCGTCACTGTGTATTGCATTTAATTTCATTTCAATTCATTTCCGTTCGTATTCAATTAGTTTAAATTGTTCAATTGCAGCTAAATGTTTTATTTGTTGATTAGTTGTACACATAAGTATGCATATACATACATCGACATAAGTCCCTCCCACTTTCAACCTTTAATTAGTGTTTTTGTTTTGTTTGTTGTTTTAATTTAATGTTATGGGTGGCGTCGCGCGCTAAAAGCGTTTTTTTTGTTTTGTTTTTGTTTTTTATTACTCACTTTCATCAATTACCAAGAACCCGAGTACTCCTCATCTTGTTTCTCCCCCCCCCCACTGGTCGGTCTGTCGTGTCATTATTATCGTAAACCGATGTGTATTACGATTATAATTTTTGTATATTGTATATTGCGTTTTTGTTACTCTCTCTTCTAATCGTAGTTAATGCTAGATTTTACTTTAAGAACAGGCCACCGAAAAAAACGTTTGCTAAGTGGGGCAGGTCCTTCCAATGAGGAGGCAGCTGCTTTTTGGAATGGGGTTATTGCTACTAGGATTACGACTGTATGTATATATTTTGTTGTTGTATATATATATATTTATGTATATAATCTATACCGTGTGGTGTCTGTGTGTGTATATAGATGCACTTGCGCGAGTTTAGTAAATGTTTTATCATTCGGTTTCATTGTTTTATTTTATTTTTATTTTTTGCTAGTTTCTTTCTTCTTCTGATTGCCACCTTTTCTTAGCCATTGCTATTGCCTCCCCCCCCTCGCCCCCCACACTTGCCTTCCCACTCTCTCTTTTTCTCTGTATTTCACTTGCTATTTTGGAGTGCTATGCTATAACTATATCTGATAGATATCTGCATAGATAGATATACTATACTCGTAAGTATATGATGGTACGTTAAAGGGGACAAAAAATTTTGATTTATTTCACTAAGTACGAGTTATTCCTCTCATTTCTTGTAGGCCTTTTGCTTAAGATACTCCGTCTGTCTGTATATTACGATACCTGGAGCTTTTTTTTTATTTTTGTTTTGTTTTTTTTTTTTTTTGCCATTTTCCATTAAATTTGTTCTCTACGTGGATGGGGGGGGTATGGGAATGGAGAATGGATTAGGGGGGGCTGGGACGCAGAAGAGCGGGTGCTTTCGCTCCTCTTTTTGTAACATTTTCCATTTCCCCTGGGGTTATTTTATAGATAGGGATTTTTGAATATTTGGATTTGTTCAATAATACAATATTATACTCGTAATTAGTATTTATGCATAGTTTTAAAGTTGATTTTCTTGTTGGTTTCTTTTTGGTGTGTGTGTTTTTTATGTTTGGTTTTTATGCTAAATAATTTCTGCCTTTGCCATGCACATAGTAGCTACATATACATACATACATGTGTGTGTGTGGCTATGTGTGGGTATGTCAGTGTGGTTGTGTGTGTGTGAGTGGCTGAGGCTTTGGTTGCCATCACGCTCCGTTACCTATGCTGAATGCTGCGGAAAAAAAAACTAAACTTAGGCCTGCTCCAACCCTGAGAGCGAGCGGGCGAGCGAGAGCGAATAAAACATACATATGCGAATAACAGTACAGTACGCTGTAGAAAGAGCATTTTACATTAACAGAGCGCAGCTGTTGCGCTAACCGGACACTGCTGCTGCTTCTGCCTCGGTCTCTGCTCCTGCGGCTGCTGCTGCTGTAGCACCATTTTCGTCACCACCTGCAGCGGACCCGGAAGCTCCTCCTCCTGCTGCAGCCTCGCCATTTCCGCTGCCGTTGCCATTGGCCGTGCTGCTGCTGTTCAGAGCGCTGTTAGACTGCGAGCCTGCCGATGATTTTTGGTATGTTAAATATCGATATATAGATATAGGGTATTCTGTTTTTGGTTTTAAACATAAAATATTTGTGGGGTAGGTAGGGCAGAGGATATATGCATATATATTTTGTATACGGTGCAAATTGGAACTCGACGAGCTAGAAAATATTTTAATATAGTCCATTAACAATCCTTAATTAAATTTTTGGTATAAATTATCAGACACAAATGTGATTTGCATGCTAAACGCATGTGCCAAAAGAGGATACGGTCAGAGGTAAGGTAGGCAGGTAGCATGGCCATTACCACTGCGGTAGTTGCCTCTGGTGTGACACAAACTGAGCGAGGGTTAGAGTGGGAGAAGCTTTGAGAATGCCTCTCACCTTGTACAAACACACTTTGGCCATAAATAGTGAGAGATAGCGCTATAGAGAGACAGAGAGAGGACAAACAGCCACCTGACGCAACGGTTCCGTTCGAGCAGGAGTGTGGTATGATCGATAGCCTCAATTTGATCGGCATTGTCATCGCCCCGCCCCACCCCATGCACCACGACGACCAAAACAATGAAAATTATCGCACACACAATAAAAATAATATGGGTAAAAAGAAAAGGCAACAAAATGGGTATACTTTCGTTTAAATATTGTATTTGTTTTCTCTTTTTATTTGTTTTATTTGTTGTATTCGTTTATTATCGGTATCATTATACGGTTTTCATCCTTCTTCTCATTCTCATTCTTGCTTTCGCTCAATTATCATCAACGGTTCTATATATTATCATGATTATTACACCATTACATGTACAATGTCATAGTATGCGTGTGTATATATGTAGCTTTAGTACCTCTTTTCTTTCCAGCTTATGCTCCTGTTTTTATTTAATTTCTTTTCGTTTCTTTGTTTTTGTTTACTTGTTTTTCTTGTTTTATGTTATTAGGAATTTTAAAAAATAATGCATGTAAATGTGTTGAGTTTTTTTTGTTCTTTTTTGTATTTTGTTTTTGCTTCTTTTTACTTTTTCTCTGTTCTGTTGTAGTGGAGTACTAGGAAAAGTGTGTTTTTTTTTTTTAAGTTTTAATTTTGTGTGTTTATAATTAGCGTAATCATTAGTTTAAGGTCGGTTATAATAAACTATATAAATAAATATATACGGTTTTTAGCGGATTTCTCTTTCTTTCGTACATCCTTATGTTTTCTCGCTTATGTATGTATATTTTGTATATTTAAACAATTTTGCCTGTGCAAATTGTCGATAAAACATAAAAAAAAATATATATTAAAGCAGGTTGGCAGGGCTAGCCTGGACCATCTCTGACTGTACCCAGTGCCTCGGTTGAAGCAGTTGGGCGTAAGGCCTTAAGGGGAGCGTGGGCGAGGAGGAGGATGTGACGAGGCAAGGCGACACTGACTACTAACTAATGGTAGCTACAATTAGGTTAGAGTAACAGTTACAGTTTATATATTCAGCGAACGGCTATTAACGGTCAGTCATCGATCAATCCAACAATCAGACAACAATCGACCGACAATTTGACTTTATCTACATATTGCAACTAAACCGTTGGTTCTCGTTTTCGGAAGCCTATACGGACACACACATGGATATAAATACACACTATGTATACGTTCGATTCCTATCTACCATCTGGATGATCTGCTCATTCTGATTCCTCATTTCAGAGACCCTTTACATATGCATTTCCATTTCCACTTCCACTTCTATTTCAATTCCAATTTAAACACAATTCTGTCGCGACTAATTGCTAAATAATAATACATACATAAGTTAAGATATACAGGCGTATAAATGTATGCATATATATGTATGTATGTATTCATATACATGTACATATGCATGTGTATGTGCGGAGGTGCATATTTGTTTAAAAAAAGGTGTATATCGTATATCTTCAGATCTTTAGCTTGGTGTGGTTTTTTTTGTTGGTTTTTTTTTGTATTTTAATTAATGAATTGTATGTGTTTTTATTTATTACAAAATAATAATAATAATTATTTTAATAAAAATAAAAATAATTTATTTATTTAATCTGTATGTATACATAATGCGTTTTGCAAAAAAAAATTTCTTTATATTTATATATATATGTATGTATGTATATATATATATACATATATAGATATAGTTTGTGTATGTATAAGTTTTGTTTTTTGCTTTTAATCAGTTTTTCATTAACTTTAAGATTTAACATAACATTAACATTATGCTTCTGTTTTAGCTTTCTCTTCCTCTTCCATCTCTGCTTTGTCTGTTAGTTTTAGGGAGGGGGTGGGGGTGTGGGGTGCTGTACTTTTGCTGTTAGCAGTGTTAGTGTCGTCGTCGCTTTGTGTCATTTTATAGTGACTGTATTATTACGTTTGCCATTTGCATAGGCCTTTCTATCATCTGTATGTATGTATGTATGTATGTATGCATGTAAGTATATCTATTGAATTTGATTAAAAGGTGGCTTTGTGGCTCTGCATATTGTTAACTTTCGCTACGAAACTTGTTTAGTTATCTTTATTAATGGACTTTCTTCTTAAAACATACTAAAAACAAATTGGTAAAAGTAATACACAATGACTCTGTTCAAAATACATATATATATATATATTTTTTTTTATATTTATATGTATGCATAAGTAAATAGATAATTGGTAAGTGTATCGACACTCTGTTAATCATTTCTAGTGTTTCAAAAATTAAAAAAAAAAAACAAAACAAAAAAATAGTACAAAGATCAAGAGAGAAAAAGGAGGAGAATCTTTCGATTAAAAGACATCAGCACGCTAGGTGGACTGACTGAATCATCAGTGATTGATCGATCATTCTTATACGGGGGATGATCAGTGATAAGAGCTTTACTATTATAATTATGGGTTTTTTTTTTGTATAATCATCATCATAATAATCATCATCATTATCATTATTTTTATGGTATATTGTTGTATTATTATTATTATTCTTATTAGTTTTTATTTTAGATTTAAAATAAATTTAATTTTACCTAGGTAAAATGTTGTTTTCTCTTTTGTTATAAATTGCTTTGCTGCGTTCTTTTTACGATTTACGTTTTAGTTTTTATTTTTAATTTAACTTCTACTTCTAACTCTTCTTCTTCTTCGGCTTCTTGTTCCTTTTCAGTTTCCGTTTATGTTTCTGTTTTTGTTTCTGTTTCTGTTTCCTCCTCCTCTTCAGATCTGATGACGCTCGAAGCGGGGGGGTGTGTGGGGGGCTTGAGTTCTCATGTATTGTATTGGTTTTTCTCAACGATTGCAATTTATTGAACATTTATGAATATAACTTCTATGTATAATTTTTGTGTATTTGTTTTATGATGGTTTTCATCCCTCCGTTATCGTTTATAGTTATCTCATATATATATAATTGTTATTGTGGTTCTCGTTGTTGTGTGTGTGTTTCTGTGTGTTTATATATATATATATATTTATTACTCTATATATATATATACACATGCAGATATATATATATATATATAGGTAGTACATGTGTGTGTGTGGTGTGTGCTTGTTTTGTATGATACTATCGTCCCTATGAATCTGTAAATAAAACAAAAAAAAGAACAAATCAAAACAAAATTAAAATTATAATTGGTTTTTTTTTTTAGTTAATTAAAAATCAAAATTTTAATTAAAACACACATCTCATACATAATTGATTCGTTCTGCATCCCACAAATGAAAATACAAAAGAAATCCAACCACGAAAGAGTTTTAGACGGATGATACTTAATCTTTGTGCCCAAATTTAGAGACAGGAACAGCCCAAGGACCACGATCAGGAAAGAATCGATTAAATGTTGCAAATGTTGCCAACAATCAAAAACAGTTTATTTGTGGGAAGGGGGTGGGGTGGCATTGGCAGCACCCACAAGCCTCTTAGTGCTTAGTTCTCTCTGGCAAATGGGAATGGGAAGGTGAATCTATTATTTCGAGAACTTTGAATAGAAAACTTTAAAATTTTGAATGCAGGCGGAAGGCAGGGCGGATATCGGAGCTGGCTTTTCAATGTTTTTTCCCGATTGAACTCTTGAGTTGAGTCCCCCCTCTTGGAAGCGTTTCTCTTTGGTAAACTTGAACTATCGAACGAATGCGTCGTCTTGAACGTCCAAACGAAGTATTTTGCTGCACATTCTCTCTCCCCTCCTCTCTTGCTCTGTCTGGATTTTCTCGGATTGGATCGATTGAATGCGGATGTGTATGATGGATGGACCATGGTCCACCGATTATGGGGTTCCCTGGCTATTGAGAGTTGCTGTTCTGGCTGGGGCGTGGCGGCTTCAGATTCTTGCGCGGCACCCTCAGTGAGGATGCCTTCAGCACATGCCCCACTGAATGCAGGTGAGCATGCAACCAAACGGCAACGGGAGGATGGGAAGGGAAGGAATACAGTGGGGGGTGAGACACGGCGAGGGATGGCCAACGCTCACTCACCTGTCACGTTGGCGCCACCAGCATTGGTCGCAGCTACGGAGCCGGCTGCAGTGGCAGCACCCGCCGCACCACCTCCGCCACCACCACCGCCGGCGGCTGCAGCTCCGCCGGCATTTGCCTGCTGGGCAGCCGGGGCAGCTGCCACAGCGGACGGCGCACCGGAGCCGGGATTGCTATTGTTTCCTTGACCGCCGGCATTCGAGCCGGTCGCCGGTCCACCGGCGGCTGCAGCGGCTGCTGCTGCACCCGATCCCGATCCGGAACCGGCTGCTGATGATCCTGCTGTCCCGCCTACCTGAGCCTGGGCGGCACCATCCGCAGAGGCGCCGCTGCCCGTTGAGGAGACGCTGGTGGAGCCGCTTACGGCACCGGCAGCTGCTGGGCCACCGCCCGAGGAGCGAGTGGCCAGATGCTTTGGCAACAACTGCGGCACTAAGCTGGGCTGTATCGAGAGCTCTGCGGAGAGTGTCGAGAGAATAAATAATGCATTAGAGGGATCTGCATCTGAATTTGGTTCTTGATCTGGATCTTACCGTGATCTGTGAAGTTAAATAGCGGCGGCATGTCGCGGCCATTGGGCAAGGTGTGGTTCCCCTCCATGCGCAGCTCATCGAAGAACGGATGTGCACAGGCCTTGAGCGGTGTGATCCGAGCGCTGGGCGTGTACTCGAGCAGCAGGGACACCAAGTTGATAGCTTCTGTCGGAGTGCGTATACGGAAAACCTGAAGGAGAATGATCGGATTGGATTAGTGATTGTTGGACTATTGATTGGATCGACAAAAGGCGGTAGGTAGATGGCCCAAGGTAAGAAAGAGTCTTGCCTTGAGGCGGGACACAAAACAACAAAACAGAAACAGAACTGGAATCCGCAGAACAGGACAGGACAGAGCAGGGCTGGGCAGTAGCACACACAGACACAATCATCAGAAGAGATCACATTTAGGGAGCTAAAATAGCAGTGGTACAGTGGGTCAGTGGGTCAGTGGTTCTGTGGGCAGTAGGCGGGGGCAAGAAACGAAGAAAATACAAAATACAAATCAAATAAATATTCAATATTTAAATCTAAAATCAGTGCATGAAGCTTGATCCGAAAACTTGAAAGCAATGAAAATGTATTTTCCTATGGCTATGGCTGTCCGTGGGCTATGGTTTGCTGCGGTTGAGTTGGTGCCTACTCTCTTCCTTTAGCTATTAAGTAGTTCAACTCCGCTTTCAAGTACCATTTAGTGTTCTATTTTACAATTTTAATAAATAAGAATAAAGCAAAATAAAAAACTATAGGCTAGATTCTATCTGCTCCTACGGTGCCTGAACTGGATGCTCCTCGAATTTTACCCTGTCTGTACGTCCATTGGAACTGTAACGATATCTTCTAGTCTGTACTTTCTCAGTCTGTCAGTGCTGCTTATAACCGATTGCCAGACGTGCCTTTCTTGGGTTTCTTCTCTTTCAATTTGGTAGCAGTCCACCGCACACAACAGCAACAAAAATTACAAACAATCCTTATTATTATCGTGAATAGAGTCGCTTGCTCGTCATGCACAAAACATGTATTTTTTTTTTTTTTTTTATATTCAGGGGAAAATTGTTCGTAGCATTCGTTTGGCTGGCGTTTGCTGGCTGCGCATCGATACTCTCGTTGCAAAAACACTTTGACAACCTTATAGACAAATAGTGTACGTATATATCTAGAGACGGAACAACGTAAAAAGAAGCCCAGAAATGGTAGAATGATTGGAATATGTACAATATGTAATGCAAATGTTATATGGCATAATTGTATGGTGGCATATCACTGACTGTGCATTCTGGCAATTACGGGTGTCTGGCATTGCGGGCAACATTTGATCATTATGATCTTTGAATTTTAAATTTGCATTTCAATGTTTTGGTTTTGAATTTTGATTTCATTTCGTGGCTTACTCTCAATCGTTGTTTCTGGTTTAGGGCGTTTGGAAATTGGGTACGTTCGAGTAGTGACTGCAACGAGTTTTTATGTACACTTTGATTATATATTTGTGGAAAACACAAACACGCACACACACAGCAGAGATGTGAGAATTAGCTGTCGGGGATCAGCGTCGTCGCTTGAACTGATTTAAAGAAGTGCAGTGCAGGACAATGATCGAAAGCGAGAACCCGAGCAAGAGGACTACAGTAGCAGCACCTCGAGCACCCACGAACGAGGGAGAATTGAAGGGGGAACTGAGATTAAGATGGACAATCAGGTCGGTTCGGTTTGGATCGGATCGGATCTGATCGATTCATCGATATATCGGCACTTACTTTCTGCCATGGATGACTCTTAATTTGTGGGAACTTGAATTCCGTATAGTTTGGATTCATTTCGCGTATTTGTTCTCTTGTCGGTGTGCCCAGGACCTTGATGACCTCGACCAGCTGATCGACACCAGAGTCGCCAGGGAAGATTGGCTGGCCCAGCAGCAGTTCGGCCAGAACGCAGCCGGCACTCCACACATCTACACAAAGAGAGAGAATATACTTGTTAATGTACTTGTTAGGTTTGGAGTAGCTAAATCAGTCACTTACCGATCTTTGTTGTATAATTAATGGCGCCGAATATTAGCTCGGGTGCGCGATAATACCGGGAGCAGATGTACGAGACATTGGGCTCACCGTGTAGCAGCTGCTTGGCGCTGCCAAAGTCACAGAGCTTCAGCACGGCCGTTTCGGGATCGAGCAGTAGATTCTGTGGCTTGATATCACGATGGCAAATGCCCAGCGAATGGATGTAGGCCAAACTTCTAAACAGTTGATACATGTAGAGCTGTACAGGATCAGATCAGTCGATTAGTATTATAATTAATTAACATTAATTCAAATACTTACCCGAATAAAGTTGATTGGTATCGTTTGCTTGGTTTTGGCATATTGGCGAGCCACTTTGTATACGGTTTCTGGTATATATTCGAGGACTAAATTCAAAAATACTTCATCTCGCTGGACATAGACATATATGGATACAAAATATAGAAAATAGATTAGTTCAGTTAATGGCGGCTCATCTTAAATATTTGTCTGCGAGTGTCTGTCTGTGTGGCTGTGTATGAGCGATGGATACATCATGGATATCGATAGCATACACACATACAGAGGGGGTATGGTGGATGGGATGGCATTGTTTATTGGATCGGTTTGGAACTGGATTTGGAGTTGGGTATTGGAAAATGTAGGTTGACCGATGAATTTGCGATTTCGCATGCGTCAAGAAAGGTACAATAGGTACAGTTGGTGACAAAAAACACACACATATGTATCTAGCAGATAGCACATAGCAGAGAGAGTAGCGGAGCAGGGTATAGGGGGGCGGGATAGAGAGAGATACCATGCGGCGTACTCTTCTGTATAAGTTCACTGTACGTTTCTCTTTCTTTTCTTTATAGCATGTATATATATATGAGAGATAGATATAGATAGATAGAGATAGATAGATAAAGAGAGATATACATACATACATACATATATATATATATATATATAGAGAGATGGATGGATTGAGGAGGGATATAGATAGAGATAGATTGACTGATTGATTGATTGATTGATTGATTGATAGATAGAGAATTGTATGACCAGTGGAATGAGATCGAGAGATCAGAGAAAAGGCTCTTTCCAGAATTAGAGATTACGAGAAAAGATACCTGGGGCTTGAGCACACTGGCAAATATACCCAAATCGATGGGAAATTCAGCCAACTTGAGCAAGTTTTTCGGTTTTTGGAATATGAAAATGAAAGAGATTTATATAACACAATTCACAATTTTGTAAGACTTTTAAGATAGATTTTATAGAGCGCTGGCATTATTTTGTTCTTCTTTTTGTTGTTTCTGCATTATTATAATTTTCAAAAATATTTTTTTTTCTTTTTTTTTTTTTGTTGTCAATTTTAGGATTTTTAGCTCTCCCACCCCTTTTTCCACCACCACCCCTCCCCCCTTCTATATAGCCACTAGCCACTTGCACTCAAGGATCTCCAAGGATCTCCAGGAGTAGGAGGATGCGATAAGATACCGCGACACTCACCTTTTCACCACTCGAATAGAAAAAGTACAAAAGCTTTACAATATTACAATGCTCCAGCTTCCGCATTATTTGCAATTCGCGATTCTAACAAAAAAGAACAGAGTAGAAAAATGCATAGAGAGTGATTATTATTATATTAGATCATTGATTTGTGAGATTTGTCTCCTTACCTTAAATCGTCTGTCCTGTAAAACTTTTTTGATTGCCACCAGTTCGCCGGTGTCGCAGAGCTTGGCCTGGAATACCACACCGAAGCTGCCATTGCCGATGACCTTTGTGTCTGTGTAGGAGACCTCTTGTACGCGATCGGTGCCCTGGCCGGGTGTTGCAACAACTGTTGTAATTTTGGAACCATCGCGACCTATTGGAGAGAGAGAGAACAGATAAATATAATGTTAATCATGTTAACTTTATTCGATTATCCCCTAAATAAATATTCCTGTAAATTCCATTTGTGGTTCCTATAATGTGTTCCCATAAAACACACACAAACACACACAAAAATAAAGAGAGTGTGGGAGAGGGAAAGGGAGAGAGAGTACCTGTCGTCTCCCAAGCGCCCTCCAGCTTCTCCTTGCTCTTATCGACCTCCTTTGGAATGGACAATGCGACGCTGTGCTCGGGCCACAAATCATTCAATTTTCCGATCAATTGCTTCATGCCTAATCGCAGGGATCGCAGGATGTATCAGATATGTATATCTAACAGATCAATTTCAAATCAAATAGGAAACACAGGAGAAGCGAAAGCATGCACGTGAAAACATACACAAAACGAGACAGAAGTGGGGGGGAGTTAATTATTTCCACCATTCCAGGGAACATTCATACATATGTCTCACTGTGGCCAAATTACTCTTAAGCGAATGGCCACACTCCACTGGAACAGTGGAAATGAAATACAACGAGTGGGCGAGGGAGAAAGAGAGGAAGTCAATTGCATATGGGAGCTGAGAGTAAGGTTGGGCATGGAAAAGTGAGAGTGAGAGTTAGGGCAGACGAAATTTTTCCAGTAGGATATAGAATAATCCTTATACTTTTACGTCTGGTCAGATCATCGTTACACATACACATACATATGTATGTATGTACGAGTATATATGTACATTGCATGATATGAAGGTTTTCCTTTTGCCTTTGGATTTCGATTTGTATTTGTATTTGAGGTGTGCTGCCTTCTGCCTTCTAGCTGCTGGCTTCTGCCTTCCGATTCTTTTCGTATTTTTTTTCTAATTAATTTTGGCATTAGCGCCAAACTGTCGACGGTGGCAGCTGCTGCATGGCATCTGCCCCCAAGCATTCAGCAGTCAGCCTTTGCATCTGCCTGTGCCGGGCCGAGGATAAAATGAGATGCGACACATTTCAGGTTCAGGTTGTGTGTGGCAGGGATAGCGACAGCGACACAGCGAAATGCAGGAGGGAGCTGTGATGGACTAGGACTAGCACGCAGAGGACTAAGGATAAAGGTTACAGAGTGGCGGGGTTCGGGTGCTGCTGGGGGGTGCTCCTGTACTTGGATCCTTGTACTGCTTGCCACCAACACTGGTCGTGCTGGCGCTGGCCGAGGATGAGCTCTTGGTGCTCTTCTTGAGGGCCGCCAACGACGAGGAGCAGGTGGAAGCCGCCGCAACAGCTGCTGCCGAAAGTGGTTTCTGTTTTTTCTTGCCATTGGCGGCAGCATTGCGCCTCCGTCGCACATCCGACGGTGACGAGGTGGAGGCGGAGGAGGATGCTTCGGTGGAAGAGGAGCACCCCTCCTCCGACTCTGACTCGCCTGACGACGAGGTGGAGCTTGAGGCTGCAGAGGAGGAGTGACTGCTGGAGCTGGAGTTGCTCGAGGAGCTGTTGTCGTCGCTGTCATTCGAATCACTCGAGGAGCGACGCTTCTTGTCCTTCCGCTGGCGCCGCTGCTCGGCCTCGGCAGCTGCCGACGCTGCCGCAGAGCCTTTTGCAGATGCGGCGCCAACAATGGAGCCATTGCCACTCGCACTCCCGCCTCCGCTTCCTCCGCCAGTTGAGGGCCGCCGCTTGATCTTAGCCGCCTTAGCGGGCGGCTTACGGGGCGGCATCGGTGTCCAGGGTCGACTACTGCTGGCTCCCGCCGCCGAGGCTGCTGCTGCTGCTTTCGCCTCGATCTCATCCATCGAAATTGGTATGGAGATGGAGTTCTGTCTGCCCGACGCTGCACCCGAGCTGGTAGCCGTATCAGCGCCCGCACCACCCCCATCCGATTCGCTGGCATCGTTGATCGATGCCGATGATCCTGTCCCAGTGCCCGTCGCTCGCTTCTTTTTTCGCACCACGCGGACCACTTTGCGGACGCGCGGCACCGCCATGGGCACCACCTGTGACCTATCCACCTTGAGACCGAGTAGCAACGCCGCACGACGCTAATACACTGAGCCACTGCTGTTGCTGCTGCTGCTGCCGCTGCTGTTGCTGCTGCTGCTTTGGCCTAGTTTTTCTTGCTTTTCTCGCTTTAGTCACTTGACTTGACCAACTTTTGCACCACCGACACCGACACCACCGCTGTGACCGCTGATCGGTTGACGTTTTCTTTCGCTTTGTTCTGATCAATCGATCAAAAGATACGATCCAATCCGATCGATCTTCAAATAGAAAATGCAAAAAAAAAAAAAATAGAAAATGTGTATAAAAAAAAAAAAAAAAAATAAAGAAACCAGAGAGAGAGACAGAGAGAATAGATACAATTAAATAGCACGAATTCGAATTCGGGTTATTTTCGTTTGAGGCTTTGTTTCACTTTTATCGATCTATATCTGCATATATTTATATTTATAAAATATATATATCGTATCTATCGTTGCGGCTATTATATTGATACGATCTGAACCGTTCTGTTCTGTTCTTTTCTTTTCTGTTATGTTTTTTTTTTCCGTTCCGATCCGATCCGAACCGATCGCTCGAACTTCCGTTGCACAATTGGCCAAAGATCTGCCATATCTCGCTGTCAGTATCTCTCTATATCTCTCTCTATATATTCACGACGAAGCACGACGCTCGGGCAGAGGGGTTCGGTTTTGGGTTCGAATTCGGGTTCGGGTTCGGGCAACCACACACACAAAACGGAATCCCCCCAATTCAAAATAATTCGTTCTGAGTGTTTAAGCTGCGGTACGGTACGGTAAGGCACGGCACGCACCCCAACCCAAGACTTTGTGTGCTCGAACAAAATTGATCATAATTATTTCGACAATTTGTTGCTTGCAAAATTTAATTGCAGCTAAATTGCGAATCTGGGAATGCCAAAAAACGATAAGACAAGGTCGGGGAGGGGAGGATGCGATGCGATGGGTCGGCCAGATAGATAGAAGGATAGGCAGATAGGCAGACAGACAGACAGACAGCGAAGAAAGGCACAAGGCAGAAGATGAACAGCGGCAGTCAGGTGTAGCCAACCATGCGACACAGCAGCCACGCCCCTTTGGCCACCAATCTAGAGAGGAGGCTACTCTGACAGTTCAATGCAAGAATAAGAATAATAAAAAAGAAAGGAAAAAAAAACCAAACATTAGCAAAGAACAAGAGGAAGGATTCAAGTGAAGACGCAGAAGAAGAAGTAGAGAGGGAAAAGCACAGGAAAAAGACTCGGCAGAAGATAAAGCTTTAGAAGGCGAAAAGCAGTAACGTGAGAGAAGCAGTAGAAAAAGCAGTGGGATAAGCAGTAGGATAAGCATAAAATGCTGATGGCAAAGCAGTGAATAGAACAGTATGAAGTATCAGAAATAATCCACCAATCAAATCATTTGAAGCTGTCATCGAGTACAGCGGTGAAAGGAGAAATAGAGAGCAAGCAGTAATTAGGGAAAAGTAAAAGACTCTGCCAAATCGGAGAGCAAATGGAAGAGCAAGAGGCGGAACGGGAAGGGAGGAAATGCAATCAAAGGATACGCAATTTACAAACCAAATTTATTTAATTTTAATGAATCAATTAAGAGGACATAAATCAAATATATATAGATATAGAAACGAACCGATACGAAATGAAACATACGAAACAAATAAGTGAAGAAAAAACCAAAAAGCGAAACCGAAAGCTAAAGCAAAAGGCAGACCAAAAGCAGGCAGATTTAACCCTTGGCATGGCACTGGCATTGTTTTTATATAAATATGTATATGTACATCTGTATGTAGAGGTAGTACAATGCGTTTCACACACAACAGAATCAGAATCAGTACAAATTAAATCCATTCAGATAACGAATGAATTCCAAATTGCAAACAAATGGCATCTATTGTGGTTCGCTCTATCTCCCTCCCTCTCTCGCTCTCGTTATGGAACTCTTTTGCCAATTAAAATAATAAAATCAAAGCTACTCAATTGTACGCGACAGACTCCTAGACATTATCCCCGTGACAGTGTCGAAGTACGCCTCGAATGATCAACGTTCGATAATGAATAATGCATCTACCAGTTAACATCTATATAAAGTACATCCTTAATAGGAGTCCTGCTTCCATCCTGTGGACCATCGCTGATTTATATAGATTTCCATGATATTTCCCTTTCAAAAACATATTCATCGACGACAATTATCGATCCAATCCAACACAATCCCGATGGGAACGTCCAAGCCGTCCAAATGTTGTTGTTAGTTTCCAATGCAGTCTAGTGTTTTGTCATTCAATCAATTAATCAATTGCTTATTCAGGAGTGTAAAGCATTACCAATTTATGCGGCTGAATCAATCAAGTTATCGGAAGCACATACTATATACATATGTATGTACATATACACATGCACATGTGCATGTGTAGAGCGCACAAATATTGTAGGTATGGGTGAGCAAATACTTGGAAATACTCAACGGTGAATGAAACTTTTGGATGCCCTTTCTTATGGGTGGGTAAGTAGCTTCATATACACAGACGAAGAGAAGATATAATCAGCTAATGTGGACACTAGTCTATAAAGCACACAGATAAATCGATAACTTAGAGTTACTCTCTCTCTCTGTCTCTTTCGCTTGCTTTGTCTCTGTCTTCTGTGGATTGCAAAGATCAATTGAAACTGATAATATACTGTGGTAAAGGGTTCCAGTTCCAGGGTTTAGGGTTTCTGGTTGAAGTCAAGTCAGGGAATGGGATGATGAATGGCCGATGGGATCCACACAGTTGGAGCGCTGTCTAAATGGGCAAAGCAATTTGTTGGCTGGCTCCTGCTCGACAGCGTGGACAGAAACTAATCGATATACAAGGCAGTTGGCACCACAGTCGCTGGGTTGGGAATGGCAGAAGCAGCAGCAGCAGAAGCAGCAGAAGGGAGGCAGGAGGAGGCGTGTTTGTGGGGGTGTTGCATGCAAATGGAATGACGCAGCGCAGAAAGTGGTGAATGGAAAGAGAAGATTGGAGAAGGAGGGGATGGGGATGGGTAGATAGAATAGAATAGAAACCGCAGACAAATAAAATGGAAAATAAAAAGACAACAACAACATACGAGACCTTCTTTTTTAGCACCCCTCTGCCTCGTCCACAGGCAGAGGTAGAGTCTTAGATGTGTGTGTGTGTGTGTGTGTGTGGCAGAGTCATCGCATTCGCTTGGACCCCATCCCTTGGAGCCGTTTCAAAAGCAAATTAACTCAACGAAACTGTTTACACGGTCTAAAATTAAACTCGACCACACCCCACCACGCCCACGTGGCTGCTGTCCACCCCATTTTTCATTCGATTTTCCTTGGGAAAATAATGAATGAGTAAATGGTTCGTTAAATGGGTATGTTAACCCTTTAGCAAGACAGCGCAGGGAAGAGAGACATTTTGGGAGGGACTCGACAAAATTTTAGGGCAAAGGATACCAGACGATGCGGGTGTGGGGAAGTAGAAGAAACATTAAGTATGACATATCTCTAGAGTGTTATCTTTCGACGAACATACCCTTGAATGAGCAATATCGTATAACCTCCCCCCCCCCCCCCCCCCCCTTCAAGAGTTATCTTTTTATGTTTGTTTTTTTTTTACTCATTTATTTATCGTTTTTTGTTTTTGTTTTTTGTTTTTCATTTTATTTTGTTGTTGTTGTTGTTCTGTTGGCTGCCATCGCTGGCAGTCGATCAAGAAGCGAGGGACAGACATGAGACGAGACACGCGGGCGAGATCACGAGATGGCCCCACAGAGAGAGAGAGAGAGCGAGAAAGAGAGAGAGTGCAAAATGGCACTTGGCAGGCATCATCCTCAGTCCCATTCCCATGTCTCATCCTCCTCATGCCTGCTGATGCCATTCGCATTCCACTTTTGCGCAACACTTTTTCATTGCATACTTTTAGGTGTGACGGAAATTCAACCATTCGGAAGAGAAGCCACAGAAGTGCGTGCGGAATGACGAAAAATAAACAGAAACAACACATCAAGAAATCGCAACCAGAAACGGTCACACTCACACATCATCCGTTGCCATAGGATTTGCATAGATGTGTGCGTGTGTGTGTGTAAATGGAAGCCATTTGCGCCAAGAGAACAATCGATAAAGTGCAGTAGCAACAGCAGAAGAAAGAGAGAACAAGCGCAGACAGAGAGTTTGCACACTTGGCTCTTTCTCTCTCTTGCTCTCTTGCAAACTTCATTTTGCAGCTGATCAAATACAAGAGAGCGGGAGAGGGAGAAGAGGGGCAGCTGTTGGCAACATTTAAATACTGAACGCAAAGGAAAATACATAATAAATACAATGTAAACCCACAGTGAAATAATTTAAAAAAAAAGAAAGAAAAAAAATCAACAGCTGAGCAAATCAACAGCAGCAACAACATTCGATCCGAACAGTCACAGTGGAGACTGGCTGCTGGTGTACAACAAACAGGCAAGACCCAACGTAGTGACCCAAACGAAACAAAAAATAAATACTTATCAGCCAAGTAATCGGGTCGAGCAAACGTGCTGCGTCATGAACACGACATGTATTTTGTTGCTGTGTTTTCTTTTCTTTTACTATTCTCGGGCATTCCCTTTTGGAAGCATTCGCTTGTGCAGCAACAAAGTACTTTAATTAGATTAAAAAAAAGTACGACTTTAGGCCAAGAAAAGATTGTCCTTCCAATGTAATATAATATCTTTTTCTGAGATGGAAATGTAGGGTGAATATCCAGGTGATCGCAGGGTTACAATATTTGTGATCAAGAATCGTACGTTATCGGCACAATATCGAAGATTATTTCTGCATCCGCAATCAAACGATAAACACAATCGATCCCATGCTATCGAATTTCGCAAAATGATCCTCAATAATATCAGAATATACATACAAGTATCCATATAATATTGTTTATAATTCATGCAGCATATTTACAAAAAATAGAGAGAGGGCGAGCTCTCAATTTTTACATTGCGAACCTGCTACAACAGGTTGCCACAACCTTCTAACGCCACCCCGCCCAATTGCTTCTAAATCTCTTGCCCCATCGGTGGATGAATGAATGGATGGGTGGATGGATGGATGTATGGATGGATGGATGAGTGGCTGCCATTGACACAAATTGATTCAAAAAGCAGCAACAGCTGCCACTAAAGCCAGAGGCAAAAGCAGCAGCAGCAGCAGTCCCGTCTCGTCCCCTCGCCCACTGTGTGTAGTGGCAGTGGGCAGAACAGCTGCCGTTGTCTCTCTTTCTCTTTTTCTCTCTCTGTTGCCATCTCCTGCTGCTGCTGCTATCATCAACCTGCTCCCAACTTGACCTTCTTCCTTCCTGTCCCCCCGAACCCCCAGCAAAGAGTACAAATTGCAAACAGAGGCACAGGGTGGGCAGCAGGTCCAACGGAAGTTGCGGGGGGGCATTAGAGGTAATGCAAAATAAAATGTTTAAAAAGCAAAACAACGCATCGCCCGTACCACACACAAAGATGAGACCGACCGACTGTGACACGCCTCCGTTTTTGGCCCATAGATACAGTGACACTCAGCCAGACTAACACGGCAGGGAGCTCTTCGATCTTCAGACAATCAATGTCCCCATGGGTTGACTTTCTACCCATAAAATCACTGCAGTAGCCTTAGCTAGAGACTGAACATTTTATTAATGGTGGCCCATCCATGAGAGCTTTCACTGTACTATACTTAAATATGTATATATTTTACAGATGGGGAATACATATATGTATGTATGTATATATACGTATATTCCAATTGTATGTATGTTTTGTTGGGCTTTGATATTTTTGGAAAAGTTTTTTTTTTCGCTTTGTCATTCATTTTATGAGATGAGCGCGTGATTATCGCCCCACAAAAACAAAAACAACAACAACAACAATCTTCTCTTCCTTTCTCCTGATACGAGAGTACCATATATACATATACATATGCATATATGAACACATATATTTATGTGTGTACATTTAATCATTGCCTGGCCTGTGGGTGATATAGCGCGTGCTTGCCGCATTTTTTTCTTCTCCCCCTGACATATTGCTGCTGCTGTTTCTGTGTCCGAAGATCATGCAGACAGAAGCCACAAGATTATGCAGCAGCGGCAGTCAGCATGGAAGGGAAAATCCTCAAAAGATTCGTTTTCATGTCTCGAATTTGTCCGTTCGCTTATGAGAAATTTTTACAATGCATTAAAGTGAAATTTGTAATATCTAATGGGGTAAGGGTATAGGCCTGACGTTGCAGCCGACAAAAAAAAGCCATTGGACCAGAGATAAATCTATGGCTGAAACAGCATATAAATGTAACACCTTAAACAACGGAAGCCTAAGCCTAAGCCCTACCAATTAAGCAGAAACTGAAATATTAGCTGAAACCGGAGCCAAGCAAAGCTCTTATCAGTAGACATCAGATGCAAATCACTTAAATGTAAGTATGTATGACTGTATGGGAGATGAACGCAAAACGCAAAACCTGTCACTGGCATAATTGAACGGATCATCATTATGGATGTATGGAAATCTTTTGCAGCTGTTTTACATCCATAAGTTAGAGTACAGAAATATGAAGAGAAGCTTGAGCAAAGCAATGGCGTTTTAGTTGATTAACGAGAATGTCATAGTACAGATTCAAGTGGCTTAAAGTCGAGTGGAGCTTACGCTTTTGAAGATCTTCCCTAGGCAGACTATGTATATATACATATGTATGATTCAAATCTTTATGTATATTTTAATCCACATAATGTGGTAACGTAACAACAATAGCTGGCATAAATCATCAATACTGTCTGTCTGTCGTCGTCCCTCGCCCTGGTCACACCACAAGCCCAAGGCACAACAGGGTACGGTCTGGGTCTTATCAAAATTATATACGAACGTGTATAATTATGGCCTGTTATAGAGCAGAAAGGCAAGGGAAAATCTGCTTTCCCTTATCAGTGTGTTGTCTTGCTTTCAAGATTTTTCATTTATTACACATTTTACGACATGCACAAGAAGATTCTCTGCTCTCTCATTCTCTAGCCAAGGAAGGGAAGGAGGCAGCGGATGTGCGGCATGGGACAATATTATACCACATATGTACATAAGTATGTGTAAGTATATCCCTGAACATTTCCGCCTTTTAATATTATTTTCTTTATTGTGTTTTATCGCAATTCCCAGAGCAAAGAGCCAGAAGAAAAAACAAGAGATTTTCCCTATCAAGAAAAATACATTCGTTCATTGAACTTTTCCCGGTTTCTCCGAGAGATTTCTATGTCTACATATGCATATGTATGCACATAAATATATTCCAATTAATATTGCTTAAAAAATAACAAAGTAAACTTTGTGTATGAACGAATTGTGTGCGACACAGACAGTTTGTCACGTTTCAAAACTGATCATCAAACAGTGTCTACACACGCAAAACAATAACAATAAATGTATACCCAAGAAGAAATGATCAAATGATGCCTCCTACAGAATGTTGGAAATGTTTCGCGACACTCGATATTAGAGGACATCGTATCAGTGATCAGTGATCACTGATCAGGCATAATCTTTGTTAGTTCTGTTGATACTCATAAATGTATTATTTTTATTGGTATTTTGGCTTTGCCCATGTTAAATCTGCTCTCCATTATCTCTGCTTGTTCTTACCGATGCTGATAAATGTATCAACAAATCGAATCGCACTATTTTTACGTTCCTTTTCCGCTGATGCATCGATAGCTGATAGCTGAACGCTATCGAAAATCGTAGGAAATCTATTCTCGATCTCCTGATCTAACCGAAATTGATTGTCGGAACAGCCCCAAATCTCTCTAGGTGTAGCCAAAAACAGCTCTGTTCGTTCACTTAACCATTATCTACATAAATGCTTATTTTTGCTGGCATCTGTGATGATCAAGCAGCGTATGAGCATATATATTTTTGCTTATCGAATCTGAATACGATGAGCTGGAAATTACACTTAATTTACAAATTTTGTTTTCTTGCTGCGTTTTCTTCTTATCAGTTTCGTTTTCTTCTTATCATCTGAAATTTTCCATGGCAATACTTATCTATTAACTCCAACTCTCCCTCCCACCCTGTCCTCTCACTGTGTGTGAGTGTGTGTGTGTGTTTGTGTGTGTTTCTAAACAGTCTTACCGATAGTTAGATAACCTTTGGAATTTTCCAATGGATTTTTTGCCCTTTAAAATGATTCAAACACTTACCTAGAAAGAGAGAGAGCGAGAGAGAGAAATGAGAATTGATTAGTGGAGGTGCAACAGCAATTTGATACGAGTTCTAAAATATGTATGTAATATGTATAGAGGGTAAACATATGTAATGCAGCGAAAGTCTGGGGGGTAAGGGGTGGGTGTCTGGATTCAATTCGATTCAATGTGTGGGAAAAATTACCTAAAATATTCTTGAACTTTTGAACCACTTTGGTCCAGCTAACGCACGACTGCGTTCTGGATATCTTTGTGACAGTCTTAACATTTTCATCGAGGCTATCGCCATCGAAAGCGGGCTCGGCCCCCTGCTCGATATCCTCCTCCTCGTCCTGACCCACTTCGTGGCCATCCCCATTGGCGTGGGTGTGACGGTGGGGTTGGTGGCGGGTGTTGTTGCTAGCATCGTAGAGGTTGTTGCCTTGGCTGTGGCTGCGGCCGCGCAATTTAACCACATCCAGTTGTAGCTCCTCGTCATCGTCAACGGCCACCCCGATCTGGACATCGTCGTCATCGAGATGCGAATGATGTTGATTGGGATCGGAGCTATGCTTGTGGATCGTTCCGGTTGCTGTTCCATGGCTATTGGACATGGCTATTGTATCACAGTGTTCTTTGGTGGTGTCCATCCCGCTGGCCGCCAGATTGGAGGCCACCGTGGTGTTGCGCTTCTTGCGCTGATCCTCGCGCTCCCGCTTGAGGAGGGCCTTCTGCTGTTTGGCCAGAAGCTGCTTCTGCTTCCGTGCGAACTTCTCGCGCAGCTTGGGGCTGCCGAACTCGTCCAGATAGTACATGGTGTCCTGCAGCCCGTCCTTGCGATTGATCAGCCTCGCATCGATGTGCGGATCCTCGCTGATCTTCATCAGCGGAAAGTAGATGTGGCCATCGGTGGCAAGGCTCTTGATGTCCCGCCTCTTGGCTGCCGCCGCCGCCACCGTGAGGGGTGCCTTGTCGAGGGGCAATGGCTGATCCAGTTGATCCGTCTCGTTGCTGTTCCTGCCACTCCCACTGCCACTGCCGCCCATGTTGATTACTATCCCAGACTGTGTGTCGGATTGGGTGTCCGCCTCCTCGGGATCTTCTCCATCCACATCATCCACAGCCACACCATCGTCCTCCTCCTCCTCATCGTTCTCCACTAAGTGCAGATCATCATCATCATCGTCGTCATCATCATCACAGATATCCACCTCATCGATGCGATCCTCCACATCGAATCCCTGGGTGCCGGTACTATTGGTGCTCTTGTACTTGATCCGGCGCAGGGCATTGCCTCCTCCTGCTCCTCCCATGGTCGCTCCTCCGCCCACGCTGCTCAGCTCCAGGGCTGAGGCTGCGCGCATGCGTCCGCCCGGCGGATCGGATGCATTTGTGCATCCACCGCCGGAGCTGCCCAGCGATTCACTGCTGCTTGTCGACTGCCCGCTCACGCCCTCGCCTCCAGCTGCCGACGAGACTTCCCACTCCACCTCCGCCGACAGGCGCTCCTGGTCGTGGCCGTGCTCCTGCTCCAGCTCCTCCTCCAGTGCCTCCCACATGCTCGATGCCACTGTCCTGACTGAGCAACTGGCGACGCTTCTGCCACTTGGGTTGCGCTCCGTGTATGCTCAGGGAACCGCTGCTGCTGCGCACTGGCGGCAACTGCTGCAGCAGCGTCTGCTGGGAGGCGCTCGAGACGATCACACCGCTGTCTGCCGATCCTGTCGAGGTCTGCGATGAGAATCGCTCGCTTAAGGGGTATCTTAATGGGGATGGATTTCTGGTTTTGGTTCGGATTGTTGTTGTTGTTGTTGTTGCTGCTGCTGTTGCTGCTGCTTCGACTGCTGCTTCGGCTGCTGCTGCTGTGGTTGTTGTTGTTGTTGCTGTTGGTGTTGCTGCAGCTGCTGCTTCTGTTGGCGGACAGATGATCAGCGGTGGACAGGTGGACAGCGGGCGGCTGCTGCTGCTGCGGCTGGGCGGACGGCGCTGCTGCTGCTTCTATGGTTGTTGTTGCCATCAGGTTTTGGGGCTCTATCCAGGCCTATGTCCTATTTTTCCTTCTAAGGGTTAAAGTCTTTCCGTTGATTTTGGATTTGTTTTGTTTGATTGTTTGATTTGTTTTGACTTTTGTTTATGTCTCTTTTCTGTCACTTGTTCTGTTTTCTTTTTGTAATTTCTCACTCAGAGTCACATTGCCTGGAGAATCGTTCCAAAATAAATTCAAATTATAGAACAAAATTGCAATTACAAAAACAAAATATACAATTTTTGTACTATTTTTGTTGTTGTTGTTTTTGTTGCTGCTGTTGTTTTATTTTTGTGTGTGTGCACTTTTCCTTTTTTAGTTTTCTGTTTTTCGTTTGGGTTTATTTTTATTTAATTTATTATTCTTGTTTCTTTTTTCTGTTTTTGTTTAGCATTTTCTGGCTCTTTCTTTTGGCTATTTATAGCGCCTCATTTTTTTGACACACAGAAAACAATACAAAAAAAACAAAAAAAAAATCAACCAAATAACAAAAACACTTTAAATTTAAACACAGCAAAAAAAAAGGCATAGAGAGAATATGCGGAGATTCTTCGAGGGTCGGAGACTTTTCTTCTGCACACAAACTTCTTATCGAACTGTTTATCGAGCTGCTTAGCTTATCGTGATTCTGTAAAACTGTTTGGCCTACTGCTTATCCACCTGCTTATTGAACTGCTTTAGCTACTCCTTTAATGTTACCGCTTTATTTTCTACTGCTTCTTCTATTCCTTATTCTTTCTCGACTTGTTCTCTTTCTTGCTTCGTTTTGTTCTGCTTTTACTGTAAACCGCCTGAAAGCGCGCAAAAGCAACATGTGCTCTGGTGAGGTCGCCCGCGAAATGAAACTGAAACAGCAACACCAGAGCACCAGAACCCTAGAGCCAGAGGCAGTGCCAGCGGCAGAGCAGAGCAGAGCGCGCGGTGCTGGTGCGGTGTTGGTGCGGTGCTGCTGCTGTCGGGGGGAGACTCAAATTCCAAATTATTATCGCTGACGCACGCACACATACACACACAGCCAGCGGCACTAAAACAACAAAAAGCACAGCCAGAGAGCGAGAGAGAGAGAGCAAAAGAGAGCCAGTGACAGAGAGCGAAAGTTAGCTGTTGTTGTGCGTCGATGCCTTTGTGTGCCCCTGTCGAGTGGGGAACGTTTGGAATTGAATCATCAATGCTAGAGCGGAACGTTTGGACCGCGAACCACCTGCCAGCCGGTCGCCAGAGCAGGCAATTTTTGAATGAAAGATATACCACTGCTGCTGCTTCTGTTGCAATGTTTTGGCAACCAGCAAAAGAACATGAGGGACTGTGTGCTCATCAACAGAAGCCACCAAACCCTTCCCCAAATCTCCACTCCACTCCCATAATCTTATCAGCGTTCCCACCCAAAAAAAATGTTACTTTTTATCAGCTTTAAAATACCATTGGATTTTATTTATTTATGCATATTCTCCAAGTCGCTTTATGGTATTGTTTTTCAGACTGCTATTATAATTTACAATTGCCGTCACATACGAAAAGCGCTGAAGGGGGGCAGGGGAGATGATGGTAGGGGTAAGGTGTTAAATCTAACAAGAAAACACAGGTAATAACACTCTAAGCTAAAGATTTCTTTCGACTATGGGATTACCTCTATGCAGACGGTGGGCAGAAAAATGGAATTAAGATAAAAGTAAAGGAGATAAAATTAATGCACCGAAAAGTCGTGGGTGGTGGGTGGTGGCTCTTCCATATCAGATTAATGTGAGTGGATTTAAGGCATCATTGATGCTTGTCTCGCGCCGTCTCCCCTGGGCTTATTTGATGCATCCCCTTGACACGAGTACAATAAGTTATGTACATATGGACGTATCAACATTTAGTGCAGAAGATTTACCGTATTTAACTGCTTGATAAACATCTGATCTAAAAGTAGAGTGAAAGCTGTTTGATGTCAAATCAGCTGATCAGCTGTGTTGCTCCCAATTAATGTGGGTACTCACTACCCCATAGTTTACCATCCATCCAATAAAATCAATGACTCAGTGAAATGTTAAAGAATTTGTCACATGGATGGCTATTGTATCCCCTCAAGGGCAAAAGAACCCAGCAAGCAGCTTTCTTGTATGCCTGACGACCAATCGAATGCACACATTCCATACAGGACAAAGGAAAATGAGAGTGGTTGGATGGAAAGAGCTGGGAGGATTGGTTTGGGTTGGCGACGCATTAGCGCAAATTAGAGGGAGTGTCGAAAGCAAACCAAATGAAACTTAAACGACCAGACCACAGTGCGTTTCCATAGAAAGAACACAAGAATCGGGTAGTAGGAAGGAGGAACGAGGGAATGAGGACGGTAAACAGTGAGACCAGAGGCACTGCGCAATAGACCAGAGACACAAACAACACCAACCAACAACCAACCGACTTACCAACCGAGTGGATGGATTATTATTGCATGAGCCGCGGTGTACGGTTTCAGGTTGAAAGCGGTTGTGCCCAGACGACGACACAAGTGTCCAAATGAACGGGCGGGGGGTGCATAACGTGGGGGTTGGGGGTCTTAGGTCAGTTTGTTAGTTTAGATGGTTAGGTCATGCAATGGGGAGAACAAAGAAAAAACCCCAACCCCCAGAACGTAACGATTGGTCAAACAAATGAAGGTACGAAGAAACCTCCTAAAAGGAGCAGGAGCAGGAGCCGGAGCAGCACATGCTATCCCCCTAATATCCCCCCCAGAAGAACCCACCTTTAGGGCTGGGCTGTTCGGTTTCTTACAGCATTTGGAATTAAACACAAAGTGTTAAAGGTCAAAGGCCCCAAACAAGTTGCTTAATTTAGAAACTAATTATATGGCTACTACTCGTTACATGGGGAGAATCGTTAGTTCCCAATAATCGTATATTACTTTTTTGTTTTCAAGGGTTTTATATTTGGAATTTTATTTTAGTTCCCCGGGCAAGAGTAGTATGAATATTCATTGGGAAAAACCTCCCTCCTTGTCGTGCCCCTCCCCACTTAAAAGTCACTTTTCCAACTGAAATGTTGACAAGTTTTTGCCCCTCGTTAAACTTTCCAGAAACTTTCTTTGGCTTAAACCATTTGACTTTGACTTTCTCCGCACGACTGACATTTACATTTACCTTCAACCTGCTGCAGTGGCAACCCATCAAAGCCCCCATTCCACTCCATCATAATTTGTTTTCATTTCGATCGACTTGACATTGGAACTTAGAACACACTGAAGACTAAAGGAACCTACCCCCGTCTGTATATACTTCCCTTTTATTATTATTATTATTTGTCGAATGAAAATTTCACTCGGCGCCAGACTGGAGACTTGCACTGCGCCACGTGCCTCCCAATGGGGGTGTGTGTGTGTGTAGGGGGGGGTCGTAGGGAAGGATGGATGGAAATCGAGTCAACTTCAATTTGAATATCAAATGAGTTGTAGGGGGGCGATTGGGGGGGGGGGTTGAGCTTTCGCCTTGGGATTGCGGTTCTTTCTTCTGTTAGTTTTCTGTTGCTCTGGCACCTGGCACCTGGGGACCTTTCTATGGGCTTGAACTTGCATGTCGATAATTCCCTGGCAATTATAGTTGTTGTTTCTGCTGTTGTTTTGCGGTATTAACGGTATAATTGCTCAAAGACACGGGCCAGTCAGCGACGAAACGAAGACCAAGACACAGTTCATATGTGTATATGTGTGTGTGTGTGTGTTCCACCACCCCAAAAGACGCAGTGAGCGTCGCAGAGATATAGTTTCACCATAATCCCACTCATTCCGCTCCCTTATTTGTTTTGTGTGTGTTTTTTGTTTTGGGGTCTAGGCCGATCCCACTAAAACGAAAATACGACTGAAAATAAAAATAAAATGCGTTGCACAGAGCGACAGGGGAGAGAGAGAGAGAGAGCCAACAGAAGATCGAAAGATCGAACACCAAAGAAAAATCACATAAGTTCAATATGACAATGTTTCAATTCCCAATTTGTCCCACCGCCGCCTGCCTGGCAACGTCATATGCTGCACAGAATTGGAACATTTTACAATCATGTGAAAGTGAAAGTAAAGGAAAAAGAGGGAAAGAACAGAGAGAACGAAACAGAAGCAGAAACAAAGCAGAACAAAAGGATTATGAAAGAATGCAGAAAACAAGAGAATATATATTTGCATTTCATTAATACAAAAAAAAAAAAGAAAAAAAAAAATGAGACAAAGAAAGAAAGGAAATTGTAAACAAGGCGGGAGGGGCTGTCACTGTCGGTTGTGGGCTGTGGCGCCGCAGGAGATTAGTGTGTGGCGTCAATCATTTACACAAAAAGAAAAACTTGAAAAGAAACTAATAATGCTATGCCCTGTGGGTGAACAAGTATACCGATACGATACCCAATTTCATTTATCAGACATTTTTTATAGGATATAGGAGGAATAAGTTGTTGGCCAAGCGACATTAGCAGAGCAGTTGGAATGACTGGCATTGGAACAAGATGATTACCCTTTGTTACCGTTATCGCACGTATCGCACCACAGCTGCTAATGACCGACGACCGGCGGCAATCAATAATTATATTTAGAGCTGGCCAAAGCAATTAACCCAGACAGACCGGACGCCACAGCACCCACCACTATGAGGGAATGCCATCGATCCACAATCGAACGATCAACGATCAACCACCCCGCAGCGAGCATATGACATTTGGCTCCGATAACAAACAGCTGCACCAAATAACCGATAGCGATAAACCAACGAAAACTGGTTAAATAACGAAACAGTAAAGATGAATCGGCATCCAAGGAGACTCCTCTTCTCAGATGGGACAAAGTAAGACAAGCCATCTATCATGCCCAGACTTTTCTAAGATCACACAGGAGATTACAGCGCATTATCAGAGGCTTAAGCCGGCTTTTATCAACAAAATGTGTTTCAAGTGGGATACCCTATCAAATGTTGATGTTTCTTCAATGAAGACAGTGATTTTACTCCTAGCAATCGATCGAAATCGGAATTAAACAAATATGAATAAAACAAGACTGACATTTGTTCAACGTTCTCCTCTCTCTCTGATTAGTGGGTATTCTATAGTCAAAACCCATTGAAAAATACTAAT